TAAGTTCCCATCTGTTCCTTATTATTTTCATGATTGGTTTTCTCACTCGATCTTGGTTTGTAAGAGTAGATGGCTTGGATCTTTGGGCAACTATATACAAAAATTTGTGCTAGAATGACAACAACCTTCTATGGGTTATCTAAAATTTAACATTGATGGAGCTTCTAAAGGAAAATTAGTCCAGTTGGTATTGATGGAGTTCTTAGAAATTAGAGGGTGCAGTGATCTGTTTATTTTTTGAGTCTGTGGGTGTCCTTGATTCTAATTATGCATAGTTTTTCGCCATCTTTGAAGCAGTAGAGTTATTCTCTCTCTCGAACTTTAAATACTGCCCTTTAATTGTCGAATCAGATTCGAAAAGTGATATATGTTGGGTATCTCAAAGAGACAAACGTCCTTGAAGGTAGTAAAAACATTTCTACGAATTTGATGCGATGCTAAAATCCACGGATAATATCTCCTTTCATCATATGATTCGAGAGAGAAACCATTTTGCTAATAGCTTGGCTAAGAGAGGTGTAGATTCAACAATACCCTTTAGTGCTTGGATTTGATTTCTACTATTGAGGCTATGCAATTTTTTCCTCAATTGTTCTTGTTTCCTTTTCTTATCTTGAAAAGAAACTTCAAGCTGATGTATAGTTTACCGGAGTTTTTCACTTAGGATTTCCGAGCTAGGATGAGTGTATTGGGGATGCCTAATGGCCGTATTTAGATGTTTGGTTATGTTAAATTTTTCTCGAATTTTAATAATAAAAGAAATTTTGCTCATAAAAAAAAATTGTATATGTCATTCAATAAAGAATTTGAATTAAAAAAAAGGAACTATATTTATATAGATGTTATATATTATTAGAAAGTATGTTTATTATATTAGGAATTTTAATTGTCAATGATCACAATGGATATAAAGTAGGAACCAAACACGTTTGTAGGAACTAAAAGATAAATCTACACGAATTTTAATTACAAAGTCACTTTAATTTTAAAGTTATAGCTATATTCAAAATATAGGAATTTATATTTCTAAGCAAAAATGTAACAATTTATACTTTAAATTAGAAATTTTAAGGGAAGTGGATAGTTAATTTTGATTAGTATAAAACTTATAATTAGGTTTAGATGATAATTACGGTGCACTCTATGAGGAATTACATACATATTCTCCTCCAACACTAGATGCTGTCTATCTCTTTCAAATCACATGCACAATCATTATAATCAAGACATTAATTCTTACGGTAATCTTTATTTTAAATATTTTACTGATTAAAGGAAAACTAAATCATTTTTCTTAAAAAATGACTTTCCATTTCTAAGAAAAAAATATTTTCTGGATATTAACAAACTTATTATAACTTTTCTCCTTATTGATTTACTTAATTTTAGAAGTATTATTTTGCTTGAGTTTTTATTATTTTTATCTTTTCACCTTGTTTCAATCATAAAATATTGTTTGTGCATTCAATTTCAATAATTTTTTATAATATTTATTCATTTTATTTACATACATAATCTTTACAGAAATTAAAATATTAAATAAAAAGAACCTAATGTATTTATTGTTTTTTCTCAAGAACTCATTACCATTTTTATTGTATTACAAAAAAACCTATCAATCAATTTTTTTTTTTTTTTAAAAAATAACTATAACGAGTACTAACGTGCAACACACATAGTTAAATACTAGCTAGTTAAAGTTAAACATTATAAATATTTGTTAAGATAAGATTTTTTTTAGTTGGTCATGACTAAAATTATTTTTAGAATATTTCAAATTTCACCAATAACATTATCATAAATTCTATTATTCTTTATATTCTCACATTTATATATTATTTTGATAAATTAATTGTTTTTCATAACTGTTATTTTCACTCTTAAAAGCCGCCTTTTCAGTTTAAGTACGTGTATATGAAAGCTAAATTCTTGATAAATTGTGACAAAGAATGGAATGGTCCATGTCGTGGATCATTAATTACCTCCTCTAATTTAACCTACAAATAATGCTATATTAGACAGTGACAAATAAAATAATTAGTTGAGGTTGTTATTAGGCATGGCCACCGGTTCGGTTCTAACCGGAACCGAACCGGAACCGAACCGTACTGTAGACGAACCGGAACCCGGACCCGAACCGTACTGTAACGAACCGAACCGACCGAAATCGGCGGTTCAATAATTTTAACCGGAACCGGCGGTTCCAAGGGCACGGTTAAAGGTTCATGTGGATGTTAAAATTATAACCGAACCGCCGAACCGGAACGGATGAACCGCGGTTCCGGCCGGTTCGAACCGGATACACAAAATGTAGCTTAAAATTTTTATAAAAAAATTATATTCAATTGATTATTGTAGTTGATTTGATTTATATGGTGAAAAGAAGGGTAAAATGGTTATATAAGTTTATAAAAAAGTTTGTGAAAAAAATACACATTTTTTTACTATTTATATAAAAAATGTACATGAATAGTTGATTTATAAAAAAAAAATACTTTCAAGTCTGACAAAAAAAAGAGTGTAACAAATAGTTTTTGATATGACTAGTGTGTTATTTATTTATTTTATTTTGGTAAAAAATTTATTCATTTATCATTTATTATTTATTTACTGTAATTTACTAAATTATATAAGGGAAACAATTTTGGAAAACTAATAAATGAGGACACATGTATTTACATATATGAGTTGATAATTTTTTTATTTCACAATCAATTATAATCCTAACTCTTCCTCTTATTCTCAATTAAAATTCTCTCAAATTTCCATAGTTCATTATTTTTCTATTGCTTTATTTTCCTTAATGTTGGAATTATTTCTATTGTTTATTTTTTTATTTTTTTACATCCAATTCCAAAATTCTTTCTCTAATTCTCAAAATTTTTTCATTTAATAAATTACTTCATTTGATTGTTTAAAATAATTTTCTTTAGTATTTTGAAAATAATAATTCCAACTTCATCCATTAATTATATTCGCATTTATAGTTTTTTTATTTTTAGTAAAAAATTAGCAAAATTTTGAAAATTTAATGTTAATAATATTCTTAAGTTAGCTTAATAGATGTTTTTCTTTAAAATTATAAAATTTCATTAGTTAGATAAAATTTAAAGCATTTTTAAATTTATTATTTATGTTCATGAATTCGGAATCAAAAATGTTATATTTTTTTAAAAATTTGCATAATTTTTTTACCGGAACCGAATCGAACCGTAATTTGAACCGTCGTTCGCCGGAAACCGTGCGAACCGTGCCGAACCGGAACCGGGCCGAACCGGAGTGTTCGTGCTGAACCGTGCCGGAACCGGAACCGGGCCGGAACCGGAGGTTCAAGGGTCTGTTCCGGTTCAAAATTTTAAACATCTCGAACCGGCGGTTCACTGAACCGGCCATGCCTAGTTGTTATTATTATTCTTTTTTAGCTCAGCAACCGAACAAACACAAATTGAGGATTACGACTTCTCATTCTCTAAGTTATTAAAATTTTCAATGAGCTTTTAAAGCCTCCTTTTCAGATAAATATCACATTAATTCTTAATATTTTACTTGCATACCAAAGTTTATTTTGCTTCAATAATTCAATATATAAAAATTGTTATAACCCCAGAAGAATATATATATTTTATATAGATTATGGTGCCGTATGGTTGTTCTTACCAGGTTGTATAGAAGATTTTGAAAGTGGAAGAGATGTCTCGAGTTCGAGTCGTCTCCACCATAAAAAAATTATTAAAAATTTAGTGAATGTTATTTAAAGGGGAAGGTTCTCCATATTGTGTAACCTACGCATTCTCCCAGTCTATTGAACCTTTTATGTATAGAAAAAAATTAAGTTAGATAGTTAACTTTCTTTTTTTCTTTGTAACTTTTATTTTATTTGGAGTAGAATATATACATGACATCCTTAATGAGAAAAATTGAAATCAATTTTAATTTTAAATCATTTTGTTAGGATGATCAAATTTGAAAATATGTAATTTTCAAATTAAAAATATAATAGCTTCCCATACTTTTTAGCCTTAAATTTAAATATTTGATTGCAAGAATTTCATTGAATCTGTTAAAGCAAAAATACAAATAAAACTATAAATACTAACATTTAAAATAAAAAAAAAAAACTTTCATACTGACACTTGTCTTTTTTTTTTTTTTTAACACTTTGGTATCCTTCGGTTTTTGTTGTCAGTATTTTTTTTTGTTCAAAATAGCTAATGTTGTTACTTGTTATTTTATATTTGATTACTTTTACACTGACGTGGCATAGAACAAAAATAAAAAGATAATTTTTTAGGTAAGTTTGGCAGTTTGGAAAATGGAAGGAAGGTGGACGTGAAAAATGTAACCACCCAATACATATAATTTAATATATTGGAAAGTTTTTTTTTTTTTTTTTCACGTCAACATATACATCATAATTGTACTAAAATTATTTTTGCAGAAATCTTTAACCAAACACTTTTTTTTAGTTTATATCACAAATGTCTTTAACGCTTTAAACACTCGATATGTTATTTAAAAGATTTGTGTTTTTTCCATTCAGACCAATCCCTTAATTAAGAATCAAACGCCTTCTCTATTAAAATAATAATAAATATAAAAAAGATTATTGCTCAAAGTAGTTAATTATAATTCTCGTTGGTTGTAGCTTTTGCCATTATGCTACAAATTAATACCTTTCAAGCCATGAAAATGCAATCTTGTAAATAATTTCACGAATTATATTAATTATCTCTTATATATTCACCGACTAAAAAACCTAATAGAAATTCTCTACTACATAGGAGTTCTTTTCTAGTAATTACGAAATTGAGATGTAATCCAACAATTAGGGTTTCAATCATATATCCTAATGCTTCCTACTTTTATTATTAATAATTTCCATTAAATAAATAAATAAATAAACTTACTTAAAGCATTTGTGCATATAACAATCCAACGGGCTGAAATTAAAGAAATTGAAATACATCTCTTTTTGTGTAGCTCACACTTTAACTTCCTCATTAGTCACCACAAATGGAAACTGAAATTATTATTATTTAATTATTTCACAAGCTACATGTTCATTATAAATTTAAAACTCAAAATGCAGGAAAATAAATAACACACAAACAACTTGATACTATCTACATTGGAGGTTTTATTGTATATATATATATATATATGGTGTTCATATTCATGCCAATAGTCACACTTTGGAGAGTAACTTAATAGGTAGAAGTAAGTTGTCAAGAGAGGCAGTTCTCTAGACCAGGAATGGGGGAAACACTTTGGAGTAATGTTTGGGTGATGAGGAGGAAGGCTTAGGGAAAAGGAGGGAGGGGAGGAAGAGGCTTGAAGAAGACAGGTGGTTTAGGCTTTGTAAATACTGGAATTGAAGGAGGAATTGGCTTCTTAAAAGCTGGAATCGGAGGATGCGGAAGTGATGGTTTCTTATGAATTGGAATAAGAGGGATTAGTGGTTTTTCAAATATTGGGATGGGAGGAGGGAGTGGCTTCTTAAATGTTGGAATTGGAGGAAGAAATGGTTTCTTAAAAATTGGAATAGGAGGTGGAAGTGGTTTCTTAAATTTTGGTATTGATGGAGGCAATGGTTTCTTGAATATTGGAATAGATGGTGGGAGAGGCTTTTTGTGTATTGGTATGGGCGGAGGCAATGGCTTCTTAAAAATCGGAACATGGGATGGATGAGGCTTTTTATAAATAGGTATTGGTGGAGGCAATGGTTTCTTGAATTTTGGAATAAGTGGCGGGAGAGGCTTTTTATATATTGGTACTGGTGGAGGCAATGGTTTCTTAAATTTTGGAATAGGTGGTGGGAGAGGCTTTTTATATATTGGTATTGGTGGAGGTAATGGCTTCTTAAAAATGGGAATAGGAGGTAAAAATGGTTTCTTAAATTTTGGTATTGGCGGAGGCAACGGCTTCTTAAAAATTGGAATATGTGGCGGAAGAGGCTTTTTGTATATTGGTATTGATGGATGCAATGGCTTTTTAAACACTGGAATATGTGGTTTCTTAAAAATTGGTATTGATGGAGGTAATGGCTTCTTAAATATCGGAATAGGTGGTGGAAATATTAATGGGAGTGAAGGAAGAAATGACTTTCCAGAAATTGGTATAGGTGGTAAAAGTGGCTTTTTGAGAGGTAGAGGAAAGACTTTTGGTGGTAATGGAGGAAACACCTTATGCTTAATGAAATTATCAACTCCAAGCTCTTCCTTTTTATCATCTCCATAGCAAAAAGTAGAAGCAAACAACAAATACATACAAAAGCACAAAAGTGCTCCACTAAAAAGAGAAAGAATCCTCATTGGAAACATCATAAAACACAATGTAGAAGCTCTAAGTAAGCTTCTATACCATGTTTAAGGCAGTGAGGACTCTGAAGACTTTATATAATGTGCTTAAGAGAGTGAAAAGACTTATAAGTGCACTAATTAAGGCCTGAAAGAGTGGATAGAAGTTAGTAGAGAATTAATCATCAAACCCAAATCCAAATATCTCCTACTCTGGCGGTGGCCTGAACACTCATAATGGCTCCATTTATATCGACGAGTGAGTACACTACTTTAGTATTATTATTATGGGGCTTTTGGTAATTCATGTTTTTGGGAATCATTATTGAGGCAGAGAGTTAGATTCTTCTTTACAACCTTATTTTACTCCATGGATAATACATCATGGGTTTCTTATTGCATTTGTGCCCACTGTCCAAATGTCAGTCTAGCTTCCACTTTCCCATTTTGAGAGAAACATTTTCTGTTGTTTCTTTAAAAAATTCTAAGGTTCTACTCCATTCTGGTTAATAAGACAGTAGCAAGTAAATTACAGGAAGTACTACACTAAATGGCTCAAGAGGGGTATATGAGAAAACATGTCAAGTTTAATGATAATGATAATTAAAATAAAATTTTGATTTATTATTTTAAGTTAATTTGTAGCTTAATTGAAACTTTAATTAACATTCTGACTTTTGAGTGTTGATTGGAGTTATCAAATATGTTTTCTTAACGTAATATATTGACCGCTCAATATATCTTCAAGAAAAACCTAATGACTTTGTTAATTTTTATTTTAATTCATTAAATATTTTAATTTATAAAATTAAACCTGCTAAATATTTTATTTAATCTATTGAACTCCTTAAATTGTAAAATTAAATCGATTAAATATATATTGGATAATTAAAAAAATGTAAATAATTACATACACATGCAGAATGCATTCCATTTTCTCAAATTCCAAGCATGGAAAACGATTTCATGAACCAGCTCTTTCTCTTTCACATGCTCGCGCTAAAAATAATTTTATTCTCCTGTTGCATATTTTGAAACGTTCAGTGAAAAGAGAAATCCAAAAGGAACTCCACTTCTATGCCCTTGCTCGGCAGTGATATTGTCTAGAATCCAAACGTCGACAGAAACCAGACAATCAAAGAATTCCAGTGAGACAGGTATAACTGCTAAAAATATTTCTGAGGGATCGTAGTTGGTATGTAGGTTTTTTTTATTGGTTGTAATTATTTCTTTATTGATCATCAAATGCAAGAATTTAATTTCTTTAAAACATATGGGTAAACCAAATAGGTAAAAGGAATCATTTTGGTTCACTTTTAACTACTTTTTGAAAAACGAACCCAACTGAAAAAATTTTGATTTTTTCTATCAAAACTTAAATAAACCCAAATTTTAAAAAGCAAATTAAATTAAACCGATTCTATTTGATTTGATAGTTTGGTTTTTGGATCGTGCTTAGTCCTAATAATATTAACTAAAAGAGTCTTTGCTTTAAAAATGATCAAGATGAGAACTGTTATAATGAGGGAATAACTTATTTAAATTTTAATATATTTATAAAAAAAAATTAGCGATCATAAAGACAAGTTATTAATTAAATATCGTGGTACGAATTCAAAGATAAGATTTACAAAGTGAAGGAACCAAACAGCACATAAGCTCTTGAAGCTAATAAATAATATGAAATTAACAGTGACTCGCATTTTTTCCTCTACCTTAAAGGCTTTTTATTGTGAGGCCATAAAATATCACCTTGTAGGAACTGCAAATAATTATTATTATATAGCCTAATGGATAGGAGAACTTGGTGGCATTACTGGAGGCCAATGTCCGAATTTGGGGTGGTGAAATGGAGGAAGCTTTGGTGGTGGAGGAATAGGCTTATGATAGATTGGTGGTTTTGGATGAAGTGGAGGGAGAGGGAAGATTGGTGGTTTTGGATGAAGTGGAGGGAGTGGGAAGATTGGTGGTTTTGGATGAAGTGGAGGGAGAGGGAAGATTGGTGGTTTTGGATGAAGTGGAGGGAGAGGGAAGATTGGTGGTTTTGAAAAACAACAAAACAGAAAGAGAGGCACATTAAGTAACATTCTAAGAATACATACCTGATCAATTACAAACTCAATTTTTTCCTTCCAGATTAATGCTTCCTGAATGTTGAATGCTGCCATCTGAAATATCACAACTCAAAGATTATTTTCCTCCTAAGAAAAACATTAGCAGATGCCAACTGAAAACTGGCAAAGCACAGACAACAATCCCATAAAGGAAGACAAGAACATCAGTTCTTCATACAACAAATGCAGTATAAAGCCAGTAGCATCACAACAGCAAGAGCAAGAGAAAACTTTCAGCAAATGTCATCATTAAACTGGAAGAAAGATGCTCGGATACACAAAAGAAGAAAAGGTAATATTAGTATACCATCTCGTCAACTGGAATTCTCTAACAAATAAACAAATCTTTTTTTTTTTTTTTTTTTTGTGGCGGCTTATAGACTGGCACTGGTGGTTTAGGTGGAAGCGGTTTCTTGGGAGGGCAAGGTTTCTTGGGTAGTGGTGGTGGCTTGTAGAGCGGCACCGGTGGTGGCTTGTAGACTGGCACTGGTGGAGGGAGTGGCTTTGGAGGGAAAACTTTCGGTGGCGGCTTATACACAGGCACTGGTGGAGGGAAAACTTTCGGTGGGGGCTTATACACAGGCACTGGTGGAGGGAAAACTTTCGGTGGCGGCTTATACACAGGCACTGGTGGAGGGAAAACTTTCGGTGGTGTTGGTGGCGGCTTGTAGACTGGCACTGATGGCGGCTGGTAGACCACTTTGGGTGGAAGGGGAGGGAAAAGATGTGGTGGAAGGGGAGGGAAAAGATGTGGTGGAAATGGAGGAAGGAAAGGATGACCAAAGTTTTTCAATTGAGGAAGTTTCCATTTAGGTAAAGGTGGCAACTTAGGTAGTGGTGGATACTTGAAGTGAGGCCATAAGAAGGCTGAAGTGCAAGTTAGAGGTGAAAATTTTAGTTTCCCTGCAAGTCCAAATGTGTGTTTGCCATTGTTTTTGGACTTGAAGATAATCTTGGAAGATTCTAAGCCACTATGAGTAGGGCATGGTGTGGCTGATGCACTGTGAAGTTGAGCATAGCATTCTTCCTTCAATTTTCCATCTTCTTTTACTATGTCATTAGGAAGATTCACTTTAAACTTTCCTTCTGAATCTAGCTTCCCAACTCCTCTTGTTTTGAACTCCCCATTTACTGGCTTGCAATCAATAGTTATGTGCAGCCCTGGATAAATATGTAATTTTATTATTATTATTATTATTTTCTTACTAAATGAATGAAAAACTAGATATCAATAAAGACAACAAGATAGAACTCATAAAGGCATGTGAAAATTCTTTGCTACGATTGGAGTACACCAAAATGAATGTGACATTATCTTGTGAATATAAAATACAATACAAGTTTGCCATTCTTTTTAATTAATAAACATTCAACCAAAGTCAATGATGCAATTCAGGATTTCTCCTATTCATTCTAGATTAATAAATCCAAATCATATCATGGACTCCAAAATATGAGTAGAACACATTTCCTTATGATATCTTTTTCTTTTTAAAATTTATTAAATTGATAAAACTTCTTATAATAGAAAGGATACAAATATGCAGCTTCTCATTATGTATGTTCTAATAAAAAGTAATAAAATCAGTCAGATCGTTAACGAATTGGCAAAATATATATTCTCCCTACTGGAAGGGGAATAGTACGTTCCTACCAAACAGGCCATGCACTTGAATGAATTCGGAAAATGAAGAAGACAATTATACACTGAAAAAGAAGAAGCTTTTAGTATCTCCATCAGTAACTACTTTGATCTTAACTTTCTTTACCCTATGCATTAACTCATTTGTACGATAAACTAGTGCAATTGCAAACGCTATACCCATGCCATGCATGGCCAAAAACAATTAATACTAAACAAGAACCAAGAAAACTTCCCCTCATACATACAAATTTTGCGCATATATATAAATATATACATATACCTGACAGTGCCTGGCTAGTCTTAATTTTGGTCTCTGCACAATCTGCACATTCTCCAGTACCAACTACCTCAACTGAGTTAACTGAGTTAGTTCTATCATCACCATAGCAGATGTTTGCAGAAACCAGTAGTAATGGTAAGTAGAAGCATAGAAGTGCTTCTCGAATCCGCATTGGGAACCAAACTAATATTAAGCCAACTTGGTATTAGAAGCTATAATATTTGCAATATAGAAGCTTCTGCTTCCATATGGTATACGATAGAAAGCTAGGGTTATTATTATATATAAGGATAATATATGAGGTTGAGGAACGAAAGAGAGATACAAACCGACACCCTAATTAAGGGCATCACATGATAGGAAGAGGGTGTACGTAGAGTATGAAATGGACCCATCATGATAAGAAAAGGATAGTAACGTGCAAAACAGCTTTTATCAAAAACAAAGGCCATTATCTTTCATTCAATGAGCTCTCAACTGTTTATGGAGGCACAGCTAGATCCTTTTATGTGCTAACCTACTTACTCTTCTCTCATTAATTAATTCTTTCCTTTGATAGATAAAAAATTATTGTGGCTTAGCACGTGACCGGTTTAACCTAGTCGTGTGAGAGAAATTTAAAGACACGTCTCTAAGCTTAAGCAATATATTCGAGATCCTAGTGTTGATTTCAATGACACGATTATATGATGAACAAGGTGAAGTGAGTAGTAAGCTCACCTTAGTGCACAGTTTAGGCCAGAAAATTGTTTGATACAGATGACATCTATCATATATAAGCCTATAGATGCTGTAAAAAGTGAAAAAAAAATGGAAATTAGGGAAGTAGAAAGTGAAAAAGTTTAGGCAGAAAAGTGAAGATTGGAAAAGTGAATCTCGAGTACATTTGCAGGTTATTCAGATTAACTCGTTTGAAGACATAGATATATCAAGTTCTCAAAATGACAAAATTATAAAAATATTATACTATTGTCCTATTTAAAAAAATTGCCTTACTACTCTCTTACCAACATTTCAATTCATATTTATATTTATTATTCCTAATATTATATATTTATATTACACTTTTTTTTAGAAAAAATATTATACAATAAATAACAAAAATACACCATTATTAAATAATATTGGAAAAAAATGGAAAAAATAACAGACTTCCCATGATATAACTTCCCTGTCTGCTAATAATGTCACAAACCAAAGAAAATAAAGTGATCCAATCATCAAAAAAGTCAACGAATTCCCACTTGAAAATTAAGCTAATTTTTCAACATATATTTGAAAATTAAGCTATTTAGTTTTGAGGCTGAGAGAAACTTCATGTGAATGTTACTTTGTGAACCAGACATTATTAAATGTCTGCCCAAATTAATTTGTTGGTTTTCTGTTTTTGGGTGAAAATTAATATTAATTTTTCCTCTAAAGGTGAGAGAATATCAGTTTATTTTCTCATGCACGAGTTAATCCAGATCCATAAACTTAGCTCCTTCTAAATTTTAAAGATATTTTATACTAAAATTTAAACTCAAGATATGTGATTAAAGAAAAAGAAATTCTTTCCATCCATCTCTCCTCGTTATCACGTCTGAACATAAAGTAAAAACAGATATTCTCTGTTTAAAAGCCGAAGGGGTAAAATAAAAATCATAAAATAAAGTAAAGATAACAATAATTGTATGTACTAGTATTGGTTATACCAACATTGACAGTAAAGTCAATCCACACTTTTCTTTCTCATTTTAGGTTTGGAGATGATATTGGAATTTCCAAATTTTCCTAAGACACAACAAGTGACTCGTGTTAGGAATCTATAGGGTTCAATCATTTTGGTTCGTATATATTATTTCCTTTTTTTTTTTTTTTTTTTTCCTTTTGTTTTTCCTTTTTTTTTTTTTTTTTTGAACAAGCTAGAATATCAAAGTTTACAATTTTCTGTGACATTGACATATATTAAATAGTGGGAATTCTTAATTTATCTTGAAAGATTTTTATGACTTTCTGAGAGAATATTTTCTTAATTGTTTTGATTGATAAGATATCAAAAATTAAATAAAATTTTCTCAAATGATCTTCAATAACATTAATAATCTATTGGAGAACTTTAGGTTAAAGGAAAAGATGGAACTATAAGAAAATAAATAAATAAATACATTTATCAAGATAAAGGATATAAATAGAATCATTTAATCATTACAATACTGTTTTATAGATAGAAATGGGTTCATTGGAAATCCCATTCTAGCAACCACTAAAGCTAAATCAACCACATAAAAGCTAACTTAAAACTCAACAACTCTATCAATTATTGAATGTTAAGTATTAGTTGTAGGTAGTGATAATAGAATTGTCAAATTTTCAAAGTTGATAATAGAATTGTAAAATTGATTGAAACGTGTGAAATTTGTGATTACCTAATTGATTTTCTTATATCTTTTAGAAGATTTGAGAAATGGAAGGTTCTATCTCGAATGCTGTCGGCCACAAAAAGAAATAATACCTTTTGTTGTATAAACTATATTATTATTTGGCTCATTTGGTATTCAATAAATAAAAAAGAATAGCAATTAAAAAAAAAAAAAAAAAAAAAAAAAAAAAAAAAAGGAAAGACTCCATTATGTTAAACCATATGAGTTTTTACCATAGGCAAAATGCTTAACTCATCTTGTGATGACTGAACTTATTGCTCATTAATAATTAGTTAATCACCATATAAAATCATTAAACTTTAATTAATTTGTGTAAAACAAAATCAAAATCACTAAATTTTGTCATGCATTTTTCATTAATGTCAATATTGTTGCTAATAGATTATTTTGTTAGAATTTCCAAAGTAAACATTTTCAAATATAAATAGTCCTTTTTTTTTTTTTTTTTTTTTTAAAAAAAAAAAAAATGGTAATAATTTTTTTTTTTTTTTTTTTTTTTGAAAAAAAAATGGTAATAATCAAGAAATTGAAAAATTAGCTGTAAAATGTGTACAAACTTTGACAATAATAGCTTGCTAAAACAATATCAAACATAAAAGCGACTTTATTACACATAAGATGCTAAAATTAGGAATAGAATAGGATAGGTAACGGAGATTATGTTTTTGTCGACATACGGAATTTGTATTTAAGTGAGGGTCCCACTGATATCTTGTGAAGAAGACTAGATGTAATAGATTGTTTAATTTAATTTAATTCAATTATTATAAAATTAATTAATATGCATGATTGACTGGTGTTTCACAAAATTAGATCTCTCTTTCTTGCTTCTTAGTTTAGAGCAAAAGATTTGAAATGACATCTTGCTCCATAAGACGAATTATCTCGGACAGGTGTCCGTATTATATTTTAATTAACATTTTCATCTCTTTATTTTTAGAAATAATTACGACGTATCCAATTTTTGGATGAAAAGACTCCAAATAATTTTAGTGACTTAGATGTATTTGTCTTAATTTAAAGATTAAATTTACAAGTGGAAATATAATTGAATTCCTAAATTATGTTTAAATTATCACTTCTAGCAATAACTATGTAAATATAATGTCATTTTAGTATTTTTGCATTTGAGTTGATGGTAAAAGCTCACTTTTTCATTAAAAAGACGTGACGATGAAATATTTATTTCTCAAAAGTGGATGAATGAAAATATTAATTAAAATATAATTTAGAGACTCAAACGCGTTTTACCTTAAAATTAAAAATAATATCCCAATTAAGGAGAAGAAAGCAATAGATGTCACCAAAGAAATTAAGAACAAATTAAATGAATCATGTCATTTTCTTGGAAAGAAAATCAAAGGTTATATTATTAAGGATGTAGAACAAGAAAGGAAGTTAAAAGATGAAGAAGAATATAGAGGAAGACACCTAATAATGCACTAAATCTAATTTTCCAACTACCACACTACCTTATGTCTCTGTTATGATAATATATATATTTACGTATTAATGATATTGATGGATGTTACAAATTTCTGAATATATATATCTTTGTTGGTGTCGGCAAGGTTTAATTTAGCAATGGGATTTTGATGAGTCCAACTCATAAAAGGAATTCTGCCGTTGAAATTTTTCATCTACTTAGTAAGTGTTGACATCTTGTACGGATTCATCAATTTTTTTGTTCTTTTTGGCTGAAAATGTGAAGGTCGGCAGTCACTTGTTTCAATTTATAAAAAGAAAGTATGGACTGTAATGTAATGTAGATGCTGCTTTATCTGGTGATATGAGGAAGTTTGGCTTTGGGCGATGGTGAGAGAGGGATGCACTTGTTTTTCTTTTTCAGTCAGTCACTTTGCATGCCATGGCATTCTGGGTGGACCTTTGGATGCTCACCACCTAAAGGGTTTGATGGGTATATTTAAGTTTTACAAATCATGTCTGTAAAGTCAAGAATTCGACACGTGAAAATACACTTATGGATTGATCACGAATTCTAAAAAATAATTAATCTCACGATTTAAAATTTCATTTGATTCAAATAGGTCTATTTATTAAAAAATTAACTTCTCAAAAGGTACAATTCTAAGGAAGTTATTTCCATAAAATATAGTGTGATTCTGATTGGTTTATTCTTTAAATTCCTCAAAAGTAAAATGTATTAATAAAATTTAATATAGAAAATGACATAAATATCCCTACAATGCAATAATTTAACTTTTATTGATAAAAAAATCTAATAACTTGTGATTACTTTTATGAAACATATTTTATACAATCCACAATTTATATTACCTCAGTTCCTAAATATTTGTCATATTTGAAATTTCACGTCTCTCAAGAAAATAAATAAATTTGTTTAAGTTACGATAAATTATTGAGTAAATTTACTATATCATTCTTAATTTAATATATCCAAACACCAAACTTTGAGGAATTGAAGCAATAATTTTGTCATATACAAAAGGTAAATATATAAAAAAAAAAATTTACTCTTTGAAACCACAAATATAACGTGTATTTAAGAACCGAGATAGTATTATGTAATAATCAACATACAATTTATTATCACACAATAATAAAAAAATATTTATTACAATAATCAACATAATCGTGCTTTAAAAATTGAGTAAGTAACACATGTACAGGAATGCCATGCACAAACACTTTTTCGTGTCTATCTATACAAGCAGCAGGTAAAATTATATTCTCTCCGTCCCATAAAGATAGGTCACTTTTCTTTTTTAGTTTGTCTCAAAATATAGTCTATTTTCTTTTTTTGCATCATAATTAATTTTTAAATTGTCTACTATACCCTTATTAAATTTTAACTTATTTTCAATGCCCATCGTTTATTCTTACTTATTATTCAAATATAATATTTTCTCATGTGTTATTTAATATGGACATAATAGAAAAGTTATATGAATGAAATTATCTTTTAACTATAATAATTATTATTTCTTAATATGTGTGAAAAAGAAAAAACAACAAACAAATAAAAAATTATATTATATTATGCTCATTATGAAATTAATCACACAACAAATTAACAACAAACAAGAAAAAGAAAAAACAATAGTTTAAAAAATTTCAGCTCTCCAGCTGTCAATCCACTTAAAATCAAATAAAAAAAAAAAAAAAAAAAAAAAAAAAAAAAAAAAACTCTCCAGCTGTCAATCCAACTTAAAAAAAAAAAAAAAAAAAAAAAAAAAAAAAAAAAAAAAAAACAATGGGGTGTTAAAAAGTAAAGGCTAAATTTAACTTTACATTAATCACCTGAAGGGCAAAATAGAATTTTATCCTCGGGTTCAGGGTAAGTTGCTCCATGTAGAATGAAGGAAGAAGGATTTTCAACTTCCAGAAATTTTACTATTTTTGGATATCTCATATCAAACAAGATGAAGTTCATCGCCTCTGAGGAACTTCAACTTTCCCACCACCACACTTACCCCCAGCCAGATGCCACCTAAAAGAGTGGAAGGATACTCTAGAAAAACCGAACAAAGAAAATACTCAAATTTCCGATGCATTGGCTTCTGATTTTAGCTAATAACTATTCGTATGTCCGAACATTGTGCGGGTTAATATTTATAAATACTCGTTTCGTCCCATTTTATTTACTTGTTATTATTTTTTTGAATATCTCAAAATGTTTATAAGGTTTCTAAATTTAGACATGTAAACAATTATTTTTCTCATAATAACCTTTATAATTGTTCATTAAATGAAGATTTTTTAGTATCTTAATGTGTTATTAAAGGTAAAGAATGACAAAATAACTTTTGTTGACTAAATTCTTAATATGCATGTTTTGTCAAACCATGCAAACAAAATGGGACAAAGGGAATAATTGATATGCATTAAATTTGATTAAAAAAATAAATAAATTAAGATGATGAAAAATACTATTTGTCATTTACTCTTTTTAGTCTTTGGCTATGATGATAATTCAAACTATTAATCCTACTTTTGTATAAATTAAAAAATGATAAAAGAACTACGTACTAACAAATTAAAAACAATAAACTCACTTTTTAGCTAAATTTAAAAAATAATATAAATATTGCTTTTACAAATTAAAAACAATTACTCAAACCATAAAATTATCTGAATGAAAACTAAAAAAGCTTTATAAATTGTTAATGATAAGTGTCTTTTACTTAATGTATTAATTTTTATCGCTATCTAAAATATGTTGAAAATATAAAAAGAAAATAAGAATTTGTACGATAAATTTTATAGATGCAGTACTGATATACATACTACATAGTACTCAAAAGGGAATTAAGACTTAGAAAAAAATTAGAGGATAATTAAATTATAAATAACAAAATATTACATCAATTTATAGTGTGGTTATTAATTATTGAAGAAATTAATTAGTGTTCCATTATTAATACACAAATTTAATTATTTGCATTATTAATTCTTGCAAAAGAAAGAAAACAAAAACTTTTTCAGCAGTAAAATAAATTTATCATATGGTTATTAATTATTGAAAGAAGAAAATGAAAAGTTTTATAATTTGATTTTCTTGCAAAAGAAAGAAAACAAAAACTTTTTCAGCAGTAAAATAAATTTATCATATGGTTATTAATTATTGAAAGAAGAAAATGAAAAGTTTTATAATTTGATTTCTTCAAATTAGATAATTAAATAAAAATCTTTAAAATAATAAAATTTCATGTTACCAATTAAATTTCACAATATCACGCCACATAAATAAATTTAGTTAGCTTTTATATATCGTATAAAGGAGAAACACGGTGGTTTTGTGATGTGTTGATGTGGCATTTCCTTAGATAAGTAAACTCTGTGGTGTTTTAGCATTTTTATTTATCTTGCCTCACAAATTTTTTAATATTTCTCTTTTTTAAATTACTTTTTCTCTCTTTTATTTATTATTTAATTATGATTTGGTTTTCAATCTTATGAATTATAAATTAAAATTATGGTCTTTGAAGAAATTTAATTATTTTGAGTGCATTTTTATAAGTTCTAAAATTTGCGAACAAAAGTTGGATTACTTAAAATCAAACTAAGATAAATTAATAACTTCAATTAAACTAAAATGATAAAATTAATTGACTTTGTAATCCAATTTTCTAACCTATACTTAAGTTTGCGTCTATTTTGTTGTCATATGCAAAATTTTTTTATTTTTATATATAATTAAAATTCTTTTAATTTTGTATAAAAATAATAGATTCTTTACGTTTAAGAACCTAATAAGATCTATATATTCTAACTATTTTACCTAAATCATAACAGGGATAAAAAAGCTTACATTTTAAATTAATAAGAATACAGTTATAATATGATCCAGCCATTTAATTTGCTACGTGCATGTAACTTCTACAAAAAAATTTTTGATTTCCTAGAATTTAATCTACAAACATGTCTAACATCTTAAATAAAAGAAATATATACTATACATCTTGCGGGAAACTGCCTAATCAAATTATAAAACTTTTCATTTTCTTTATTCAATAATTAATGACCATATAACAAATTTATTTCATTAACAAAAAAACTCTTTGTTCCTTTCTTTTGGAATAATTAATGATCCAAATAATAAATTTTTGTAATAATAACAGAATAGTAATTATTTTTTAATAATTAATAACCACACTATGATATAATATTTTGTCATTTTATAATTTAACTATCCTCTTTTTTTTTTTTTTTAACTCTCCCTTTTTTTTTTTTTTTAACTCTCTTTTGAGTGCCTATGCCATATGAGTAATAACATCTAATAAATTTGTCACCAAATTCTTATTTTCTTTTTTATGTTCTTCAAAAATTAAAAACTTTTTTTTTTTTTTTTTAACTCTCTTTTGAGTGCTATGCATATGAGTAATACATCTAATAAATTTGTCACACAAATTCTTATTTTCTTTTTTATGTTCTTCAAAAATTAAAAACTATAACAAATTTTCTAAACATGTCATAAAATTAATAGAGGCCGATCAATTTTTTATCTATATAATCGACCCTAAGAAGATATCCTTGACAAAAGTTTAGCGATTGCGAGTCGTACGTATTCTTAAAAAGGTGAAAAGTGAAAAATAGAACAAATCTCAAGAATTTCAAGAGCTAGGAAATGGATTCTCCAGTTAAGTAAAAAAATTCGTATCTGCTGATTACTATGATGGAGAACCAAAGCTATAATCTGGGCCAAGCACAACTCAATTACCATGCCTTTGGCAATGGGCGTCCAGATTGCTGGCAACCGAATAGAATATAGAGATAGTAAGCATGCAACAAAAGGAAATTAACTAGGTTCAAGAAAATTAGATCTTTTCTACCTCAAATGGGAGTTAGTCTTCTCGAAAGAGGCTCAACTTCCAAAATTCTCGAAGAAAAAACAAAATTAGAAAATTTCTTTCACATGCTACAACAGTCAAATATTCCTCTGGAAGAACTAATTTAACTTATGGGCTCTCATAGGGTATCCAATCGCCTAGCTTGAGTTACAAGTCTGTGCAGTGCCTTGTGCAGGCTTAATAAAAGCCTTGAAACCATCTACTTCTTCTTCTTAGATTTGCTGGACAATGACTGGGTGTATGCAGTTCCCTGATCATTAAAAACACAGAGAACCCATGGATTAATGACAGTTCGTTCTAGATTCACAGCAAATTATTGGATTCAACATGAAATTCCTCATTGAAGCCACCAGGTTTGGATTAACACATAATGAGAATGTGTAAAGGAGGAACAGCAAGAGGTTGTGCTTCGCAAAAGGAAACGTGCATGTTATGTGTTGAGGTTCTGAAAAAAGCACCACTTTTAGATGTTGGAAAAGCAATTTTTTGGAATATTGTTCAGTTGTTTTGAAGTTTTTATGATTAGAATGGGTGAAATTCACATAGCAGTTTTCTTCGGTCTTTTGGAAACACGCAATGGTGTTGAACACATGACATGCTAGATCAAAATAACTGACAAACCTGAAGCCACTCATCCATTGAGGCATCCCTAGTCCCAGTTCCAACTTCCACCTTTGGAGCCCTCTTTGTTTTCTAACAAAATAGAAGTAACAAGTTAGAAAAATTCCCCATTAAGCAAACATAGGCAACATTATGACTCATGAGCATGAAGATACCATGACCAAACGTCCTAGTGAGCTGCATGCCTAGCCTTCATAATCAACAAAATTATAAAAGGCCAAAGACAAAACGAAAGGATTCTTTGAATGATAAAACTATAAGCATCTTTTACTAAGTTTTCATTTATCCTTCCCATTATATATTGCCCCTTCTCATCAAATTGCCAGCCTAAATCATTGACAGATAAAATCACAGAAGATAGAACTGCAAAATAGCATCAGAGCAGGAAAGTACCTTGGAAAGGTTTTGTACTTGACCATGAATCCACAAACCAAAGAGTACAAGAAGGGCAATTCCAAGGGTAACCAGAAAAACTGACTCGATGCTGAGGAAGCCACCAGACTCAACAACTTCAATAGTACCATTGTAGAAGGTGCTTTGATATCCTTGCTGGTCTATCTCATAAATAATGGATCCTACAAGATCAAAGTTGCCAGGCTGCAAAAAATTGAAGCATATTAGAAGAAATATTTAAGCGACGTAAAAATATCGATAATAACAAGCCATACAAATCTCAAGGTACTATATACACCTGCAAGTACTTGCTGACAGCAAAAACGTATGGGAAAGTCGCCTGTGTTGAGGGAGGAACAGTTGCATTGTTGAAGGCCTGCAGACAAACAATTAACAACAAAATAGGAACTATGAATAACCCCAGAAATGATAGAAGGCAATTTTTAATCCTAATCATTCAGGAAAGTATGGATATGCAATAGAAAACCACTGCCAGCAGAGAAATATCACATTCCATAACATACATGATTCCAAGACAAGATTGTAAATTGCAGCAACTAGCCCATAATAACATTTTGCAAAACAGTGGCACATGGCATCCCTTAACAGCATTAAAAGCAGTCTTTCCAAAGTAATCATCATTAAGAACAAGCCCAAATTATTAGCACAAGATAGACTGGAGTAGGTAAGAATTGCTAAAATAGGACCCAACATATCAAGCCTATGATGTTGACAACCTCAATTGAGCAATCATAACCTCTTGAAGACTAATGTATATTAGTTCAAAAAGCCATATTGAACCCCACAGCTTTATTTCATGAAATAAAACCCACAGGAAAATCATTCTGAATTAGCTGCTGAAAGGCAAGCACATCCAAATTGATTTGTTCCCATCTCCACAAAATATTGAACTACCCATATATCTGGCTATGTTATTTAAATCCATTTAACCTTCATGCTAGCAGATATAATCAGACTATAACAATCATATGCCTGCAACTAGACAAAGGTGATAACTAAACCACACTTGCATGCCACATCATTATCTTTATTCATGGGCCATGCATCTTCTGAATGCAAAACTAACTCCCATACTAATTATGCATCTTTTTTAAAATAAATAGGAAGTTCCTAAGAGTTATTCTAAAAGAATTCATTCTATGGATATTCCATTATCATTTACTTCAACAACCGTCATGGCAAAGAACAATATAGATATTTATCTGGCTCCAGATGGCAATGAGCAATTAATGATCACCCAAAACAAAGTATGGAGAAAGCATAAATACTTGCAAATTTAAAAGCATTCTGAAACAGAGCAAGAAAAATTATGCTTGGAAAGGAAATAAAAAGATAGCAATGATAAAATTTAGGATCAGGTTATATATAGGGATAACCACTCGCCATTTTTACAAATTTCTTAGTTGCCTCCACATTCTCATTGGGGGAAGTAGATTCAACTCACTAACCAACAGTTCAATACCCCACGTCATCGTTAGTTATTGAATTGGATCTGGTCTTAACTTTGCTCTTTTCTAGATCGGCAGTACCACGGTTCAGTTTCAAATCGAAACCGAACCAGTCACTAAACTGTGATCAACAGTTCTTGGTTCCAAATCGTAACATAAACCGTAAAAACAGGTTCTTAAAGAAACTTCCAATTTCTTTTTTTTTGTTTAATTATAATTTTTCAAAATAACTTTAAGAGTTTTTATTAAATTTGTTTACTTTTTTCAATAGTAATATTTATTATTATTATTATTTATGCAATCTACAATCTAAAAAAGAATTTTAAAAAGGTTGAAATGAATTATCTAATTTCGGTTCAAAACCAAAACCAGCCTAAAAGCAGTTCGGTTTCAGTTATATCTTAGAAACTGCCTAGGTCTAGAGGCCTCAGTTATAGTCTAGGATTTTTCTGCAGAAATCAGAGATTGCTTCAGTATTCACCCTCTCATAGAAATCTACCTAGACAGCTAGTTTTCTGAAGCTTTCTATGTGCACAAGTGCATGTGAATGTGTATGTAAGAGAAGGAGAGAGGTGACATACCCTACCCGATCACAATTCCCAATGTGATGGGTGGGGCCAGTGGGCCCTGGAAAAGGAAAACAACCTACAAACAACCTAGCCATATGACAAATCAAATTTGAAACTGATATTCGTATCCAGATAGTTGAACTATGTTTGCAAACGTCCATAACTCAGCAATTAACTGAGCAGTGATGGATTAGGTGAGGTGATTACTTCACCATTCAACCCACGTCCATAACCAGCAATTACCTGAGCAGTGAGGAAGGGGAGAGGTGATTGCTTCACCATTCACCCCTTCGAGAAAACTAACTAGACAGATAATATTCTGATGCTTCCTATGTGTGTATGTGCATGTAAATTTGAATATAAGAGACAGGGAGACATGTCATGCGCCAATCACCATCCCCAATGTGATGGGTGGGGGCAGTGCTCTGGAAAAGAAGAACAACCTAACCATAACAAATCAAGTTTGAAACTGATGTTGATATCCAGACAGTTGAACTATGTCTGCAAACGTCCATAACCTGCAATTACCTGAGCAGTGAGATTCTGAACCAGCAGACGATGATCAAAAGGAAGGTGAACACTGGCCTTAACTGCAATGATATTTATGCTCGACTCCCCTGCATCCATCCAATGGAGAAAGTGAGCAGATGTCCAATAAAATACTAACAGATAAACATAGAATGAATTTACAAACCATCAGAATCATTTAATGGTTGTTCGGAAGAAGAACTAGAATAACAGAATAATGGTAGAAAAAAGAAACCACAACCTAATATTTATATTCTCATTGCAAAAGGCCATCCAGTAGATAGATCAACATACCATCATTCTTAATTCCAACAAGTAGTTCAGCCTCTTCCCCAGCTGGCACCACTGCAACAGATCAAAGATGTCAAAATTAAACAGATGTACATACCCATTTTCCAGAATTTTTGTTCTCAAAAAAGAGAAAATATCAACGAGCAATTTGATAGAATTCCTACCACGGGCACTGTTTTTGGGGAAAACACAAACAGTCTCTACTCCAGGAGCCGGGCTAAAAGTCCCATCACCAAAATCCTGAGCATCCTCACCAACAATCCCAAGATCACTGACTTCTTCAGCAGCGTCTGTGACTTCCACATCAGAATCTGACTGACACCTAGCGACTGCAACATTAAAGAACCATCAATTCAGATGAAGTTGCACAGAAATCTCAAAATTTCACGAAAATATTTGAAGTATCCATTATAAAAGGTCAGAGGACTAGAACCCAAAGCAACACAAACCCAACTCTACCCGATGCAAATTGAACATTAAAAGCATATATTGCACCACAACATATAGCATGCATTACTCAAAACTTGTTTAATCAATACTAATTCATTCCACTAACATAATTATTTCCTTCGCGAAAAGTAAAAGAAATAACACTCAAGTGTCGCTTCAAAAGACAAAAATAAGAACTGCTTACAGAACCCCTAATACTGTTCTGCCCCTTTCCAAATAAAGGGCAAATTCGCTTTCATGAAGAAACCAAAAAGCATCGTCAGGAAAAGCTAATCAGAACCTAGAAAACTAATAACACTTGTTCGAACACTTCAATTCTCGGCAAGGAACAACCAACTCAGAGATGAACAGTTCAAAGCCGAAACTTCATAAATCTTAAATAAAACCAGATCTCATTTCAATAGATCGATTCGATCAAAAACGTAAAAAACGTATCCATTTATCAATCTAAAAGGTGCGTTTACAGATCCAGATCTAAAAGTGAGAAGGAAAAACCTTGAAGGAGAGGGGAAGCGAGGAGGAGGAGAGCGAAGAAGAAAACACTAAGATTCTTCATTATCGCCGTGTGTAGGGCAAAAGCTTGGCAGGTGGTTGTGATGATAAAGATCAAAGCGACTGCTAAGTACAAAAACCAAACTTTGGTTCTCGAGTCAGAAGTGAGATAATTGTAATTTATATGGGTCTAATTATTTGGTGTGCTTGGAAATGGAGGAACGCAAATTTGCAATTGCCTGGTACGGCACAAATAGTTGAAGAAAACTACAAAAAAGGTCGGAAACAAGGTTAAACGCTGTCGTTCACAATTCCCCCTTTTTATAGTCTCTAGTCATAAAAGAGCTTTTTTGAGGGAAAATAAAAGATTTTTTTTTTTTGTTTTGAGAATAAGAAAGCTTCTGATATATAGGTAAATTACAATTTCAATAATTGTTTCTTATCTTACATTAAATTTTAAATTAGTTTATCCTAATTATAAGTTAAAATGTAATTTCTTATTAGTACTTTTTATTTTGAATAGTAGCTTGTTACTACTTAGATTGTATAAGTCTGATTCGATTCCGTACAATTTTTAAGAAAAACTGAAATCAAATCAAAAATTTAGTTCTTTCATTTAGGAATTAGATAAAGAACCACAATCGAATTGAACTGAATTTTCAATACGATTCATCAATTTTTCAGTTTTAACTTTTTGGTTCTAGTTTTGATTTGATTCGGCTCCAATTTTCCATTGAAAATTATTATATTTTCAAAACATATTATAAGGTTTTTTTTATATAAAAATATTTTAATATCAAAATAAAAATTACAATATATATTAATTAAAATAAATCATAACACACTTCGAAATACATTAAAAAGTAATGATCAAAAAGAAATCTCATATATTTTTACTAACTTTACATCTGCTACGAGAGGTAGGAAGACCAATATGACTACACTTGATTGGTGGAAATCTCAGATATTAATTTTTATGTGATGGATCCATAATTTTAATTTATACTCTATTTATATTATTAATCAAATAATACCAACTAATAATTTTATTTTCGAAGAATAAAATTTCATGTATACTACAAATAACATAATATAATGAAATATTAAACAAAAGTTATATGTATAAATCAATTTTTTGGTTCGCTTCAATTCAATTTAATTTTGGTACTATTCCAGTGCAGTTCTAGTACGATTTTTTTATAAGAATTAGACCCATAACAAAAATGATAAATTGCATTCGATTTGGTGTGATTCGGCTATTATTATCTCGGTTCATTTTCAATTTTGATTTGGTTCGGTGCAATTTTTTGGTTTGATTCGAAACCCCAGTAATCATGCACAACCCTAGTTTGTACTACGGTTGAACAATTTTCTTTTTATACTTGATTAGTTCAATTAACATTTGTACGTGATCCTTGCTCATTTTCTGTTATTGTTTATACTCATTTATTATTTTTTTTAATAATATTAAATGTTGAGTATAATTTTCTTTTTATATTGCATATCGTCTAGACGTTTATATTGTTAAAATATAATTTTACATTGAAATTAATGTAAATATAATAGTTAATTAATAAAACTATTATAAACTTGTGTTTTTTACACCTTTAAATTGTTGGAAAGCAGTCGCAAAAGTTACAGTTCGAATCAATATACAATTGATTCAAAATCAGAGCAAAACCCTAGAACTGAAAGATGATATTAATTTATCCACTCTTTTGATTATAACTTAAAGCTATAGATAGTATTTTTGGGTGATTCAAATATCATTGAAAACTAGTTTAAAAATAACATTATTCACTTATAGGATATTATTTAAATAGAGAATTAGAAACAGCTTGTAATTTAAAATTGTTATATATGAAATCATGCTTTAACATTATAAAGATGTAGACAACACGAGAAAAATTGTAGGCATACTTGATAACAATATGCAACATTCGTCATAATATTATTAGTGTCTGAATTTCTTTATTTTTAAAGTTTTTCTATTTAAAATAAAAGGAAATTATTAATATGCTATTTAACATTACTGTTGTACTACGGCCTAAGTCATGGATTCAACCCTCCGCAACGCGAACTTCTCTGGATCAGCTTCTTTGCCTTTGCCACTGATACGAGACTGAATACATCGTGCAAATATTTATATATATATATATATATATGTTTTTTCTATTTAAAATAAAAGGAATTATTATATGCTATTTAAAATTACTGTTTGTACTACGGCCTACGGAGTCATGGATTCAACCCTCCCGCAACGCGAACTTCCTCTGGATCAGCTTCTTTGGCCTTTGCCACTGATAACGAGACTGAATACATCGTGCAAATATTTATATATATATATATATATATTATATCCATGTACTATAATTTTATTCGGCTTTTATTCCAATATATATATATATCATGTACTATAATTTTATTCGGCTTTTTATTCCAGTTTCTAAATCATTTGGTTCTAAGTTCTAATTCTAAAACTTGAAAAGATTTGAAAAGAACCTACCTATATCTAGCTTCAATTCTACTCAGGAGCCGAACTAAAACTGGAACCGCACAGCCTTAAATGTAGAGCCGGCCGGAGCTCAACTGCGATTCCAAAAAAATTGCAGACAATACCCACCAGACTTTCTTTGAAAATTATTAAATCATACAGCATAAATTTACTCCAATAATCACTTGTAAACTGTTGCCATGATAAAGAAAGCATGTTTACGATAATGATGCTTATTTCTGCAGAGCAGGGAGAGAAGTATTGCACTGTATATTTTTTATTCAAGAACAGAAGCCTGATTAGAAGATCCATGCGTCATGACTAACCATTATAAAATATAAATCCTTCAACCAACTGACTAAATAACTCGTGATGTTTTTTGAAAAAACTGTAATGAAAAACACAAGTACAACTTCAAATTTGTTCCCATGCAGTTTGATGAGACAAACCTCCCAGGTCTTGATGAACGAAATACTTGAAAAATGGAAACCTAGCATCCTACCAGCTCAATCTCCGTGGATGGTGTATCGCTCCCACTTCTTTGACGGATCATATATCTATCACAGTGAAAAAGAAAAGAATTAATTTCAAGAAATATAACACTTGCCTCTGCATATTTAATGCGTAGAATGCTAGGCAAGCTATACACACCAGACAGGATCATTCAGTTTGTCATATTGAATGCTAGATTTATATTTTGAGAAATAAAAAGTATATTTGATATGACATTGCAGAACATGTCATGCAAGTAAAATACATGTCTGTGTACAAAGTGAGGGGAGAGAGAGGGGGGACAACAAGAGAGCGCACCTCCCATCTTGAAGCTGGGAAAATGTGTTTGTTCTTCTCATACCAGTGCCTCTCAACAACTTTACCAGCATGAGACTGTTAAAAAAGAACGGGCAAAGTTGGATATTTGCATAACATAATAGGACAACCCCTCAATTAAATGCTGACAGTTAGGAAAATTGTAGAATGAATGAACAATACCTCATCTTTCTCTATTGTTGCATCAGCTATAGTCCGCACATCCTCATGCACATCAAAGTGAAAAAGCTGAGAGATCAAGGAAAAGAAAAGGAAAAATCATTCATATTTCAAGAAATAAAAAAATATTAGGAAAATTAACATCATAATTCATCCAGAAACCATATCAGATTTCAGTGAAGTCATTTCCAATCATATGCAATTAAATACTGTTTTGAATATGCATTAGAGACAAGATCCAGAATCTAAGTAACCTATCCACTAAATAATAAAGTATCTCGATCAATCAAAACTTGCATGCCAAAGCTTCATTTCCCTCTTTTCTTTGTCATTCACTGAAAAACTCACCCTATTTGCACCTACCCTCCTTTGTTAATGAGAAACTACTAATTTTTCCCTTCTCATTAAAGGCATGAATTTCCAAAACAAAAAAAGGTGTTAGGTTTTCAATTGTTCTGTTTATGTGAGCACAAAAAGAAAAATTAAGCAGGAAACAAGAACACCATCGATAATTAGATAGTCCAGAAAATCATACAAGGTTAAAATTTTTCATTTATCTTTATGAATATGATCAATACATAAGGTGAACATAATTAATTACAACCAATACAGTAAAAAATGCACTGAGAGAAAGGGAGAGGAGAGATGTTAAAGGAATAAAAAATTACCGGTCCACTTTTTCCCCTAGCCTTGTTAACAATAAGCTCATAGAAGCTGTGCTGCTGAAATTCCACAATCATTAATTATTAATGAACTATTAGTTAGTATGTGGCCCAGAACACATGATAGCTAGTCAAACTGTATTGAAAACTCAGATGTCAAAGCCAACTCACATGGGGAATGATGAGATCTTCTTTCACATAAAGTAAATTCTCCACAGAAGTTGTTCTAATTTCTCTAAACTCTGGAGCAAGTTGCTGTTGAACAGCCCGAAGAAACTCTCCAATGGAATCACCTTTCCGCGCCTAAATTACACCAGCCACAAAAAAGACCAAAACACTGAAATTAATAGGATGGACAAGGAGAAAATTGAAATTTGAAAGCAGATGAATAAAATATAGTTATATCAATCTAACTAACCTGGATTACTCTCCTGTGGCCTGCTCCATCCCAGTAGCTGTAAGTAATTTCAAGAGGCTCATCTGAAACATTTAAAGGGCTTGATTCAGGACTAAATGTTTTTCCATGCATGCGTATATAAATATGGAAAGGCAAAAACAAATAATTACTTCGTATCTGTTCCTGTTCATGAAGCCACTGTTTCCGCAACCTTTCACGCTCAGCTTGCTCCTCTGCCTCTCGCTCACTGAAACAGCATCCTCACCACCCCTAAGATCATATGTTAGTTCCAAGTCCATGCAGATCCACATGCATCAACTAGAGATAGATAGATAGAGAAAGAGAGACACCCCACCTGTCAGGCAAGAAGCTCGTTTCCACTGTGGGGTCTTTGCCAAACTTTCCTCGCACCAACCCCTTCGATTCAAAACTTTCTGCACAGGGGAAAATTCAGTACAGTTTCTCATGCTAAAAAGGAGCTGGTTACAATAAGAACCAAACAAAGCTCATTACAACTTAAAAATTTTTACTACTGAATTTTGCAACAGCGAGACTAACAAAAACTTCCATACACAGATAGAAGAATAACTTTTCTATAATTCCAAATTTCATTCTTGCAACAGCACATAAAACCATAGAGCACTTTGAAAGCCAGAAGTACATATTGCCAACAAACCTATATCAACCAAAAGATAATCCACAGGCCACCCTTTATACACAAGATAAAGGGCATAAGCTGTGACATCCCGGCCCGGCAAAGCGATCCTAAGAGGGCGGGTAGAGCGAAGCTCCTGGCTAGCTTCTAGGATGGTAGGCTAGCTAGGGTAGTGGAATGCGGGAGCTAGGCTAGCTTTAGGGTAGTGAATGCGGCGGACACAGGAATGAATCAAATCAGTAATCGAATGGGAGAAACTAATCATCAGAGGCGCCTGTTGGCGGAGTGTGCTAGAGAGTTGGAAGAACTCAGGGGTTAAGCGTGCTCGCTTAACAAGAAATCTCGGTTATGGGTGACCTCCTGGGAAGTTCCTATTTCACTGCGGGACAAACGCACCTGCGGGACAAAACCGTGCGGGTCTTGACATCTTGTATGGGCGATTTGGCTTGATCCAAAGCGGACAATTCCTCTGGTGATTAGAGTCGGGCGTAACATAAGCTCCCACAGAAGCCAATTGAAAATTCTAATTTCTAAGGAGAATGTTGGAGAGTCAATGACATGACTGCACCAAAAACTAATTGGGAAATGAGCTTCAAAATGAAATTTTTAACATACATCAATCAGTACATCTGTAGAACCAGAACCTCTAATCTAAATTGATCATGACCCATGCCAAAGGCAGACACCTAACCAAGTTAACATTACAATCAAACAAACATCAAAATGAAACGGCTTGCTAGTAACTATAAAATAGAGATGCAGCACAACATGAGGCATTGGCTTGTTATTAAAGCATATGATTCGAGTATTAAGCAAGCAGAGGAGTGCTGTCCAAAGAATAATATATATATATATATATAATAGTAGAATCCAAACACAAAGCACAAGCAAATAAGAGAAGAGAATAACAACCCAGCAAATCAAATGAAGTTCAATATATCCAAGAGGATTTCAATTTGTATTAGAAAATGTCTTACTTTCTTTGCTGTCCTCTTCTCCACTTTCATTCTCCATATCATCAGCAAAGGATAACCGAGAATTCCCCTTAATCTTTCTCTTTTTTCGCTTTTCTAACTGGAGCTCCTCCTCCCTGCAATACAGAACAAATCCCAACACATAATTTAAGTAGAGATGATTATGCTAACAAAGGGAAAAGAAGGGACGGAATTAAAACTAAACTCACTCTTGTCGAAGCTTCTGAAGCTTCTCCTTTTCTTCTTCTTCAATTTTGTTCTGAATATTGACCCTCTAGCATACATAACAAATTTGGATAAGAACTTTATAATTACTATGAAACAAACAGAAATCAGAAAATTAGTTAAAAAATAATGAAAACCTCTTACCTTCTCAACATATTGCTCTCTTGTTACCAAACCCACAGTTTCCTTCTTAAACGCAGTCTCGAGAATCTGTTATACCATATGAAAAAACAAAGAGCAAAAGCGCAATCAGAGAACAAACTCCAATATGAATAATAATTTATTATGCACTTCCCAACTGCTCACCTAAAAAAATAATAAAAAAAAAAGGTTTCTCGCTTTTAATTCTTAAACCAATAAATTAATTTGTTTCTTGAGAAAATGAGCTAACGATCACATTCTAATAGCTAGAACCCTAAAACACAAGCAGAAGTAACAATAATAGCAAAAACATGAAAGTTTTGGTAATCCCTATAATTAATTTGACAAATTTTGAATTCGGACCTCGGAAGTACTTGACCCGAATTGAAGGAGGCCAGGCTGGCCCTTGCCGGAGGCGGACTTGGTCTTGAGCTCTTGGATCTTTCGACGCTCAGCTTCTCGTTGCTTCTCTAGCCGCCGTATCCTCACGGCGTCTTGGGCCGTGCCCACGTACCCGTCTCCCATGCCCGACATCTTTGCCTATTTCGAGTTTTCTCACCCTCCAAACGGGTTTTCAGTCCTTTTGTTCCTCTCGACAAATAGGTTGAGGAAGCAAGTAAATGTTTCAACCGCCAGATGACTGCGACGGTTGGGTTCTTATAGGAAGGATTAGTTTTGAAACGGTGCTATATATCCTCCTCTCAATTTTGAGAGTTTTAATGTTGATGACACCCTCGATTACACTTATAAAATTAGATTTATTAAATATTTTAATTTGTAAAATTATTTTATGAAATACTTAAATCTATAAAATTAAATTAATTAAATTATTTGAAATTATTTTTAGAAAAACGGAGAGAGAGGTGATTTTGTGGGTTTGGTGATTTTTAGTTTAATGATTTTAGTGTTTTTTTTTGTTATATAATCCGAAGGTTTAATTTTTTTCGAATCATGAAGCGTAATGGTTCTTGGCTCTCTCAGCAAAGTTCGCTTCTCGAAGATCGAACTTTTATTCTCGCATTTGGAGCATCTCTAATGATAATGTGGATTATGGTCAATATGTCATATGGTATATAACCTAAGAATGGTAATTTGGCTGAATGTTTATCTATGGACGTTAAATTTTAAAAACATCTTTTTAATGTACTGCTTTCAGATCCTCTTACATCATCTTTTTTTTTTCTTTTATTGTCTGAGTCCACAATTTAACAATCACTATATAACAATAAATGTACATTGTCTAAAAGACCTTTTAAAAATAAAAAGTGCGATGAATGTCTATTTTATTTTTTTTACACGTCAGCTTGACATAGCAAATAAACATCACCATTGGAGAGCAATTTTAAAATATTTTTCCATTTTTCTGATGTAGCAATCCATATCAGAGTATCTCTAATGCAAATGTGAATTGCTCTTATTTAATTGTCACGTCAGAAAAATAGAAAATAATTTTTGAAAAAAACTCTCCAATACTAATTCACTACTTTCATATCCTCTTGCATCATTTTTTTTTTCTTTTATTTTATGAGTCCACAATTTAACCGATTACTATATAACAAAAAATGTATATTGTTTAAGAGACCCTGCAAAACTAGAAGTGTGATTGATAATGTTTATTTTACTTTTTTTACACATCAGCTTGATATAGCAAATTAGACATCACCATTGGAGAGCAATTTTTAAAATATCTTTCCCTTTTTTTTGATGTAGTAATTAAATAAGAGCAATCCATATTAGAGCATTTCCAATACAAACGTGGACTGCTCTTATTTAATTGCCACATCAGAAAAATAAAAATACTTTCCAACACTAATTTAGGATGTCGAGTTGAAATATCAAAAAAATAAATAGACATTCTTTGACAATATGAGCATTTATTGTTATTTAGTGATTGGTAGTATATTAAATTGTAGGCCCAGAAAATAAAAGAAAAAGAGAATAGAAGATGATTCAAAACTAGTGCATTGGAGAGAGATTTTTAAAATTCAATATCTATAAATAGACATTCAGTCACATAATCATTTATACTTTCTATTCCATATCACACATCAGTCACAATCCATATTAATATTGGAAATGCTCTTAGCATTAGAAATATTCTTATAGAAATTGAAATCGCTTAACACCACAGTCAACGTTTTAACAGTTAATAATTTTTGTTTGTTGATATTAACCAGAGTAAGAGATAAATGAGATGGGACTTTGGGAAATAATCAACTGCGGAAAAGTGCAAAAATTCCTTTTTTTTTTTTGGGAGTGTGTAGAGAGTTGCTTTGGAATTATATATTCCAACTTTTTCAAATCACAACTGGTTTAGTTTTTCAACATTGACTAATTTATTAAGGATGATTCAATAAGCAACTTAATATGGAAGATAATTATTTAATTCATTTTGTGAGTTTGGACTTGCCTTTTTTTGGATGAGTGTATTTTTTTTAAAGGAATTAAAATAACAATGGAAAATATATATGGAAAAAAATATTTTCCCTAGTTTGGAAAGAGGAGGAAAATATTAGAAGAAGTAATACTTCATTTATTTTTCACATAGGCCCACATGTTTTGAATATCTGCAATTTAAAAAGAAAATAATGGAAAAAAGTAAAAGTTTCACTCATTTTTATTAAATTACCTAAATATCCCAAATTAATTAATAAACTTAACCCTTTCTTAAATACCACATAATTTAAATAAGGATATAATTTTTAATTTTCAATAATAATATTTATTTTCCTCTAAAATTTTTCCCTTTTCAAACAAAAGAAAATAAATTTATTTTCTTTTGCTTCGTTATATCAAAACACAAGTGCGGAAAATAATTATGGAATGAAAATTGACAATTCTTTATTATTTTTCTCTATTACTTTTCTTTCCTCTTATATTTTTCTTCCTTTGCTTTCCAAACAACGGGTTAGTCTTTATATTTTAAGGAAATGACTTGAATTTAAATTGTTTTATGGGAATTAATTATTATAGCCCATTTAAATTTAAATTATAAATTTTATGTGTTTAATTAATAGATTAATTTATATTAATTAATTAATTTAAGAAAGAGATAAGGGGTGAAGAAAGTTCAATTGAGAAAGTCAAGGTAGTGGGGCATAATCTAATGATGTACAAAACTACCAAAACAGTACATAGAGAAAAGAGTATGTGCATAAACGGAGAATGTGATTAACCGTGGATTACGAACGGAATCATGAAAAGAATAAGGGGTAGGAGGTTGGGATTCCGCCAATTCAACTAATTTGAATAATAATTTTAACTGAGGTAAATCAACCAAACTTTTCTTTTTGACTTAATCAACTAATAACCGAACATAATCAAATTGATTTCACGAATTAGTTTTGATTATTAATGGATACTAAAATTTTTGTTATTAACCAAAATCTTCAATGCAAGGAGAAATTTTTTAATATCGTGACCAAAACAAATAAAAAACAATTTTAGAGGAAAAAAAAAATCTCTGAGGAGATAAATACGTTAGACTTTAATGTCTAATGTACTCATATATATATAATTAAAATCACAGAAAATAATAATAACTTACATGTTGGTGGTGCAATCTTAATCCCAAAAACTAAATGGAAAGAAATAAGGACAACCATGCACAATTGTCTACGTAATGGCTAGGTACATTCTCACTATGTCTACAAACTTCCATTAGATGAAAAATTTTATATATCTTAATAGCGTAGAATAGAGAGATGGCATAATCTATATATGTATATATGAAACTATTAGAAGCTCTCATCATAATCTTAGCAGGATATATAATCTTAATACAAATAATGATTTTTATTCAAAAAAAAAAACATAAAGAATGATTTAACCATACTTAAATCAAATAAATTTAATAATCAATCTTTAACAATGGACTTTAAATTAAACCTTTTGGACCATTAAACTTAATTCAGATATTTTATAAACCAAACCTTAAACTTGTTCATTTAAAATTTTTAAATGTTTAAACATAATTTTAGTAAAAAAGTAACAAAATTTTTTTTTGAAGGTTAAGACTGCAACATTCTTAAACTTAAATCATCAAACAAATGATCTATAATGAAAGAAGGAGGGAGAGGACCCCACTCCTTCGGTTCAGACAGAGCAGACATGAGTTGCAAGAAGATGAAAAAAAAAGTCAAAAACTAAATAATATTTATGCCTCGAGTAAAGTAAATATAATAAAAACTAAAAATACACAAGACCTCAACTAAACATTGTTCCTATTTCTAGTAATTTTTTATTTGACATTAACACTTTCATATTTATATAATCAACAAATAACTTTGACATTTATAAATTATTGGCCAGTACAATAAACGAGTCATTCCATCCAATTTAAGTTAAAATCACCATTAAAAAAGAAAAATCCCTAAGTTACCCCTCTCTCTCTCTTGGATACCCATCAACACCACTTGTCTTCTTTCATCTTCATCTCCTACCAAAGAATCAAATGAGCAGCAAAGATGGAGAAGCTTTGGAGATCCATTGTAAAAAAGTTCTTAGAATCAAGGAGAAACTTTGAGAGAGAAATGAACTTAGCTTTGCTTTCCTTATGATTGATTTAATAAGGCTTGTTTGGATCTCGATAATGTATTTACTTCTTTATCGTGAGATTTCAAGCTTTCAATACCACAATCTTCATTTGATGAGGCTTTTTTGCATTCTAAGGAGAACAAATATTTTTTGGAATTGAGTTGGATATGTTCATGAGTGAATCTCTGAGAGAACCTGTTTATTTTCCTACAAAATCTAGAAAAGCAGAGTAAAAACTAAAAACTCTTGATAAAAGTTATAAATGCAATAATTTTCTCGAGAAAATTTCATAATTTTTCTATAAATTTTTTGGCAAAATTAGTGTGAAAACAAATTTGAAACTTTCAATGGCGTAGGAAAATTAAGACCAAAATGTAAATCATTTATGTGAAAAATCAAAAAATAATCATAATTTATAAAAAGTCTCCTGCGGTAGATCTATATGCCAAATCCCTAATTTGAGCTTGAAATCAATTATTCAAAAGCTCTCACGTGCCTTAATATCACAACAAATGAAACACCAAATCAAAGAAATCAACGGAGAAGCAAAGGAAAAGATTAAACAAACCCTAACATTCAGTAGATCAATATCACCATTAAATAATAAAAAAAAGAGCAGTTTAGTGGGTTTTAATGGTACAGAGATTGATACAGAGATAAAAATGAATTGCTCTGATAGTGACGACGTGACAATTGAAAGGGAAGAAGGAAAATAAGACAGACCGATGATTTTGTTACACTCTTTTTTCTCCCTCTACATTTTTAATTTTTTTCTCCCTCTACATTTTTAATTAATAGTTAATATTGATTTTAATTTAAATGGAACGGAATGATTTATTTATTTAATGGATCAATAATTTAAGCACGTTAAAATTATTTATTGATTAAAAAAAAATAAAAGTATTAATATGACTATAATTTAAGGAATAAGAAGGCATTTTACCCTAAAAAATATTTGCGATTTTCTTTATGCCCTGAAGAATTTGGAAAATTATTCTTCAAGAAAATATATTGCATCAAAACAAACGGAGGCTCAGTTGTCAGTATTCTGTCAGCAGTTGGACACAAGGCAGAGAGGATAAGACAACGCATGCTTCAGATTTCCAAAACCATCACTTCCGCTAAAAAAAAAAAAAAAAAAAAAAGAAAAAAAATTTCAGAAAATATATTGCATCAAAACAAACGGAGGCTCAGTTGTCAGTATTCTGGCAGCAGCTTGGGAACAAGCAGAGAGGATAAGGACACGCTGTTCAGATTGTCCGACCATTCATTCCGCTAAAAAAAAAAAAAGAAGAAGAAAATATTTCAGGACTTTTGCATATTTCTCTTGATTAGATACTAAAAAAAAAAAAAAAAAGAAAAGAAAAAAAATTTCAGGACTTTGCTATTTCTCTGATAGATACTCTCCCATCTTGCTTTAGACTGGAACGCAATAATGGACTAGCTAAAACATGACGCTCTCTACCCTCAGTCCATGCAAATGCAGCCCCCAAATCCACCCTTCAGTGATTTCCCTCAACAGCAATTGCCGCCTGACCCTTGCGTAGCGCCTCCCACTCGCTCTCAACCCAGGTCAAAGTTTGTCCTTCATCTTTTGGTTCTAGTCTACTAATTTGGTGATGTTCGAAGTTGAAGAATTCTTATTTTGTTGATGGGTTTTGGTTTTTGTATTAAATTGTTGCTTAATTCACTCTAGGTTTGAAGAAATTGAGGTGTTCTTTTTAATTAGATAAGTTATTTGATTTCAGAGCGCAATTGAATTTAATGTTGTTGATTAGATATCGATGATTTTCGGTCAAACTAGCTTTAAATCTTTGTTAGGTTTTGTTAAGTCTTTAATGTTAATTGAAAACAAATAAAATGAAGAGATGGATTATGCATCTTGCTGCAGGAGTATTTTCTTTCTGTGTCTTGTCTATTCTATTTGAACCCTCTATTTGCTTGACTAACAGATGTAGCATTTCAGCATGTAGTTCCACTGCTTCCTTTAACAACACTTCTTGTAATAAAGGTAATTTAAATTATATAATTTAGAACAAAGCTGCATAAATCAATTTTAGTTAAAACCGTGGGATGTCCAAAGTTATAATGTTCATATGGTTTACGGTCTGTTTGGTGTGAATGAACTCAAAATGTGAAATTCATTTGTAAATGAATTTTCCATGTTTGGAATAAATTCAAAAGTTTAAAATTCATTTGCTCTTTATTCTTAAAATACCCTTGGCATAATAATTTAGGGAGCTAGGAAGATGAAGAGTTTTGTCATAAAATTTTGGGTTGTTTAAGTTTGTGAAATTCATTTAGAAATTCTGCATTTTTTAGTAGAATTTGGTTTAGTTATATTCAAATCCAGAAAACTCAATTCGTAGAATTTAATTTTTCATTTTTTTCCCATACGAAACACAAAAACTATGATTTATAAATGAATTTCACAAAATTTTGTGGCATTCATTATTCCAAAAAGGGGTTAGTTTCACAAATAAAGTAATTTCTCAACAATTGAACACAAAAATTTTACAGAATAAAGAGCATACCTCTAAAAGAAAACTTATCGCTTAGAATCAAATGTGTGCAGTTGATAGAAGCCTTGTGATGTGGAAGTGTAGCCAAAATCTAAGTGAGAACCTATTCAAACATTCAGAAAAAACACGAAAGAAAACTTAGAACTCAGATCACACAAAGTTTTAGAGTTATGAAAGTTCTATATAAATAACAACATGATATAATATTATTTTAGATAAAATTGTTTTTGTAATAATATTCTTTAGTTATATTCATATTCTATTTTGAATTAAAATTATCCTGCATTATATATATATATATATATATATGTTGACATTAAAATTATCCTGCATTATATAATATAATATATATATATATATATATATATAGTTGTTTTACAGTTTTAATGGCCTTGTAAGTTATTATACCCACATTTACTCACAAAACGAAAGTAATTTTTGAATGTGCTATATAAAATGAAACCATAAATAACAGCCCGGATAGAGCACAATGGAGAATAGCGGAATGCTTACAAATAAAGTTATGCTTAATTAATTACTTTTTGGTGTAGCCTTGGATGTGCTTATTCTTGAGTTAAGATGGTGAAGTGTGCACAACTGTGGTTTTCAGTTTTCAGTTCTTGTTCTTGAGATGGATTACTCACTCTTTTGAGATGCTACTATGTCTAATTGATCGTTTTACCCTTTTGGGCAGTCAAAGGCCTGAATCTGAGGTTAAGGATGCAAGGAAAGTTCTGAAGGCTGACCGTGAGAAGTTGAGGAGGGATCGACTAAATGAGCAATTTATTGAGTTGGGAAATGCGTTAGGTAAAACATGATGAATTCAAATGATTTTATTTAAAATTATTTGTTCAGAACTTTGTTCGTTCCTCCCCTTTTGGGTGACATTTACAACAACAACAACTACAACTACAATTTAGCTTTAATCTCAAATTAGTTAGGCAACGATAGCAAGGGAGACTTAATCCTAGATTAATTGGAATCTGCTAAATGGATCTTTTGCCTCCATTCTGTTTTGTAAGTAAGGAGACTTAATCCTAAATTAATTGGAATCTGCTAAATGGATCTTTTTCTGTTTTGTAAGTAAGGAGACTTAATCCTAAATTAATTGGAATCTGCTAAATGGATCTTTTGTCTCCATTTTGTTTTGTTTGTGGCTAGATTTTCATTAATCCCAAGAGATAGTAAATCTTTTGCTATCACCTCTCTCCATGTGGTTCTAGGTCTACCTCCTCCCCTTTTAGCACCCTTTACCACCAAAGTATCAAATTTACAAAATGGGTCATAGGAGGAACCACATGGCCAAACCATTGCAGGCATTCTTCCCTCATCTTATCTCCGGCTTCTGCTATTTGTATCTTTTGCCGAATGTGGTCATTTTTAATTTTATCCAACCTTATGTGGCTACACATCCATCTCAATATACGCATCTATGCAATATTCATCTTATGGACATGCTGGGCATCCGGTGTGCAACAGTCTCTCCCATATAGCATTGCTGGTGTCACTGCTGTCTTGTAAAACTCACCTTTCACCTTGTTTGGTATCTTCCTATCACATATCACAGCTTAACCTAAAACCCTTGCTCTTGAGAGTGCTTCTTCATAATTCAAACTTTTTGTTTAATTCTTTACTTGTTTCATCAATTTGGACAATATCATCTTTGAATAACATGCATCAGAGAACCTCATCTCATATGCTACAGATTATCTCATCCATTACTAGAGTATATGGGCTCAAAGCAGATCCTTGATGTAGCCCAACATTTATGGGAAACTCCTCTGTATCCTGTCCAAATGTTCTCACACTTGAGTTGTGACTGTGTTATCATACATATCCTTAATTGCATTAATATAATTGACATGAACCCCTTTTCTCCAAATCTCACCAAAGCACTTTTCTCGGCACCATGTCGTAAACCTTTTCCAAATCAGTGAACACTATATGTAGATCCTTCTTCTTTTCCCTATAAATTTTCACCTGTCTTCTTAGTAGGAAAATAGCCTCTGTTGTAAATCCCCCTAGTGTAAAACCAAACTGGTTCTCCAACACTTTTGTTACTCTGTGTCTATGTTCTATTACTCTTTTCAAAACTCCATGATCTATGACTTCATGCAGTTGTTACTACTGTAAAATGGCATGTCAGAGTGTCATTTTATTAGCGTTGCTATACATTTGTAAGGTCAGGTTTGATTCAGGTAACTAAAAGAAATGAATTCTTATATTTCAGAGTTCAGACACATTTCTTCTATTTGGTGATGAGAACACCTTGTTTTGCAAAATAATTTGAATGATTACTGGAATGGGGGCTTAATCGGTGGTCTACACAAGTTCGTGGTACAGTTTAAGTGATTGTGAAGTTTTATTTTATTTGCTTCTTGGCACTGGACTGCAGTAATTAGCTCAATTAGCTTGAGGAGTTCTATTTGATGTCTTGTCTACTGCTTTATCCATTCCCTTTCTTTATGTAAATGGAAACTGTGTTGAATAGAATGGTTCTTTGAGGTTATGAAAAGAGTTGTCTTTGTTTTTTTAGGATAACAAAGTATCAATATCAGCTAATTATAACTGGAGTAGATTATTAGCACTTTATTATTTTTATAAAAGTTTTGGTGTCCATATTTATGCGATTCTCAAAATGCAGATCCAGATAGACCCAAAAATGACAAAGCAACCATTCTGGCTGATACAATTCAACTGTTAAAGGATTTGACATCTCAAGTCAACAAACTCAAGGCGGAGTACACTACATTGACTGAAGAATCTCGTGAGGTGATTTTTTAATCTCTTTCACTTTGATAAGGATGCTGAAATGCACTAGGATACATAATTATGATTTTCTGTTTGCAAACAGTTGACACAAGAGAAAAATGACCTCAGAGAAGAGAAGGCGTCTCTCAAATCTGACATTGAGAATCTTAATATTCAGTATCAGCAAAGACTCAGGTCTACATACCCATGGGTTGCTATGGATCACTCGGTTGTTATGGCCCCAACTTCTTATCCCTACCCTATGCCAGTAACAATACCTCCAGGGCCAATTCCATTGCATCCGTCCATGCAACCATACCCTTTCTTCGGAAATCAGAATCCTGCAGTTATCCACAATCCATGTTCAACTTTTGTTCCATATGTGACCCCTAACACCTTGGTTGATCAGCAGTCTACCCAACGTGCATCTTCATTTGCACAGCCTGCCAGTGGATCCCATGTTTCAGGAAAACAAGATTCCAAGATTAAATTGTCGGGGGAGAGCAAGGTTGGAAAAAGTTTGGACTCAAATGACGTTACAACAGAGTTGGAGTTGAAGACTCCAGGATCTATGACAGATCAGGTAGGTTATAGACTTTTAGGTTTCTTTGGGAGAGACATGAAGTAACGGAACCATTATTTGAGGTAATTTTCATTTAAATACCAAATTAAAGTAAATGTAATTTGTTTTTGTAGGATTTATCCTCGGGACACAAAAAGTCCAAAAAATCTCCAGGGAAGGAAAATAGTGTTACAGAAGGGAGTTGTTCAAGTAGGTGTTCTTCAGCTCGCAGTGTCCAGGATAGCTCATCCACTAGCATAGTTGGTAGCACAAAGGCAGATGACTTAGGCCAGTGAAAGATGGATAAATGGCAATCCAGGTTATTTCAAAGTTTTCCTTATTACTTTTGTTTCTTTCCTGGAATCGTCCAGTCGGTTGAGTATTGGATTTGTCTTCAATTGAATCATTGTTATTTGAGTAGCCTGGATGCCTCTGCTAAAATAAGCTAACCTTGTTTAATTTTTCTGGGCATTTATATGCATGAAAATGGTAGATAGGATCTCCATTAATGTTTGCTTATGTGGACCAGAACTACAGTTGCTAATTTATACAAGAGCTTGTGTTAAGTACTGTTGACATGCAAGACTCGACAACGGAATTTTTAGGGATTGAAGCAGAAAAGAGAGAGGCAGAGATAGAAAGAAGAATTCGAAGAGAGAGAAATATTATTGTATTACGAATGATGATACTTACTACAGCTCATTATAACATTGATGTGCTTAAGCCAACTGAGCACAACTAACCAATCAATTACAAGTAATCTGCCGAATCAGCTATCTACTAACAATTATGAAATTCAATCAAATTTCATTTTCATAGAAAAAGTCTCATATAATTTACAATAAGTTTTTTATTTATTTCAAGCAAGTTCTAACAGCTTGTTGATGAGGCTGGCAAGCCTGGCATTAGATTTGCCTACAATAAGCTATATGTGAACATTAGAGCATTGGAATATATAACATTTAGTGAACACTAACCTTGATGTTTGATGAATATGTACTATCTTGTACTAAAAATAGTCCTGTTAGATGAGACCTACCAGTAGGGATAAAACTCCTTGACATTGGAGGTGAACTAAAGAGAGGTTGGATATCAAATGTACATGGGTAAATTTCTCTTTCAATTTAATTTTCTTCTGATATGTTATCACACTTGCACAAACTTTGACAAAGTGTCGCACAAATTGGTCTGATATTTCTTTAATGTTCTGTTATCAGTTGGCATATGCATGTCTTTTGGGGGGGGGGGGGGGAGCAGAAGGCGGCAGAGAGTAAAGGAACAAGAACGAATTATCCGTAGGAAGGAGAGATAAATTGATATGTATTACGAATGATCGAATACTTTTACCTAACAGTCTCATATAACATACGATCTGGCTTAAGCCCAACTGAGCCACATTCAGCTAAACCATCCAAATCAATTACAAGAGTTATCTCGAACTTCAGCCTATTCTACTAAGTCTTATTTAATGAAATTCAAATACAAATTTCATTTTCATAGGGAAAAAAGTCTCATACTAGATTTACAAATAAAGTTTTTCTTAACTTTCATTTCAAAGCATAAGTCGTCTTAACAGCTTTGTTGATGAGCTACAAGCTCTGAGTGCATAGATTTTTGCCTACGAATAAGCTATATTGAACAATTAGCACGCTATATGAAGTAGTATAACATTTAGTATGACACTAACCCCTGATGTTGTGTATGAATATGTACTATCTTGTACCTAACTAATAGTCCTCCCGTAGATGAGACCTACCAGTAAGTGATAAAACTCCTTGAACATTTGGAGGTGAACTAAAGAGAGGTTGGGATATCAAATGTACATTGGGGTAAATTCTCTTCAATTTAATTCTTCTGATATGTATCATCACTTGGGCACAAACTTTGGACAAAGTGGTCGCACAAATTGGTTGATATTTCTTTAATGTTCTGTTATCAGTTGGCATATGCATGTCTTTTGGGAGGAGGCGCGGGTGGGGGTGGAGCGAAATCAGTTGGAAGAGGGCGGGGGGGGGGGGGGGGGGAATCAGTTGAGAGGCAGTTGTCATTTTTTGCATAAATGGTAATATAACGTCTTTTAGTTCGAGTCACGATATTAGGTTCTGAACAAGGGTAGCAATGACTGTGATGACAGCCAAAGAACTTGAATGTCGAAAAGACAGGCTGCGGTGGGGCCGTGCAAATGGGCAAACAATGGCCAGATGCATAAAGCGAATGTTTGTTAAGGGCAATGAGCGAGGATAAAGAGCCTAGTGGACGATACTGTTATAATGGTATTTTGTAGATTTTGAAGTTGAGAGTAAGTTCTGTTATAAAAAAAGAAAGAAAAGATCTTGAGAGTTGAGGGAGACTGCAGAATTTGTTATAGCATCAACGTACAGTGATTGCATACCCACCTCATGCAGATGATAAAATATTGGCTTGCTTTGCTGGTGGTTGAGATTGAATATCCATTCACTTTGCAGTATTTTTGCCTTTCACCTTTAACCAAATGAAAAGAATACTTGTGTTGTAACTTCCTAAGGCTTTTAAGTAGTACATCTCATTTCGTTGATCGAGCCTGTTCAATTGCATCCTATGATGCCAATGAAGCGCCTAGTGGCTAATGTCAGGAGTTCAACTCTTATCCCACCACCATTTATCTTGTAATATCATTGAAGATCATTTCATTGGGTTCTCAATTATAATCGGAGTAATTGCTGTTTTTTTTTTTTTTTTTTTAAAAAAAACATCTACTAATCCGGAGGTCAATTGCTGTTTTTTTTCTTTGTTCTTTTTTAAAAAACAAGTTTCATAGTATGATAATCAATTTTTAATATTCTTAAAATCAGGGTATGCCTCAAATAAAAGGTAAATTTTCAGACTCCTGTTTTGGATTAATTTCGATTCTTTATTTTTTAAAAAAGGTTTTTTTTTTTTTTTTTTTAAAAAAAATTTCATAGTATGATAATAATTTAATATTCTAAAATCAGGGTTATGCCTCAAATAAAGGTAAATTTCAGATTGTTTTGGTATTATTTGATTTTTATTTTTTGAAAAGGCGGGTGGTGTTGGAAAATCGTTAAAGTTATTACCATGTAATGTCTATAATATCTTTTGACAAAAAATAAAAAAATTGTGTTAATATAAATTATTGACATAATTTAAATTTAAAATGGACAGGATCTGAACTTTGGATTTCAATTATATAAAAAATATTATAAAATTTTAATATATGACAGAAGTAATAAATATTAAATCCTAAGGATAAAGGATATATATATATTTATATATTTCTTGAGTACTGGGGTGGGGGAGGGGAGGGGAGGGGTGGGCTATGCAATGGCTCTGGCCAAGCGGTCAACGAAGATAGGCGCGGCAAATGATCACTAAAATTAAAAATATATATATATAAGCTAAATTGTGATTTGAAAATTGTTATTTACCGATTATTAAAATTAAAATATTTACTGAGTGGCCTAAAATCCTCTACCCTTAGCACCTCCTAGTTCTAAAAACAAAATAAAATATTTGCTGGTCTTCGCAGCAGGCTTTGAAAGTCCAAAATAGCTATTGTAAACAAAAGAATTCCATTGATGAGTTCTATAAGTTAGGTGAATTGTCTAATAAAATAATTAATCAACCAACAAGCAATCCTTCACTCTTAAGACTTGCTGATGGATTAGACCTTTTGCTGAGGAAATTTATATCCACACTGTCGTATAAATTTCACTTCTAGTCAAGGCATGGACAAGATTCTCAAATAGGTAAGATTGATTTTGGAATGATTTTTCTTTAATTATAAATTGTGAAACGAATTGAACTTTAGCTCATACTTAATTATTTAAAGTGAGACAAATTTTAAATTTTAATTCAGATTTTTAAATCTATCGATTAATTAAAGAATGGTGGAAAAGAGTGTTGAACTCGAAACATTTTAATTTTGAATACCTCCACCTTATAATAATAACTACAATATCCTACCATTTCTTTGAAACTGTCTTAATTTTAATTTCAAAGAGCTCCTCAACGGCTTCATTTATAGTTTACTAGGGTTATCTTATAAGTAAATTTACCCAAATAAAATTGAAAATAAGAGAACCTAAAATTGAAGTTATGTGCGTCACAAGTTATGCTGAATCTGGGTTTTCTAAAACAAGTGAGACCTGATAGATAAAGTTATCCACGTGTTCGGTCCTCAAGGCTCATCACCACAGATTCCAGTTAGATCCACCCCACTTTATCTATATCCTTTCATTTTATTCATGAAACCACGTGGCAGAAGGAAAGGCGCTCATTTTTTTATACTCATCGGCGACAAACTGACAAGCGCAGCTATAAATACTTTAGAAACGACGACGTAAAGTCACTAATCCCCTTTTTGTCTTCCGCACCGGAAAGGTCTCTACTTAGTCTTCGCCAAATGTTCTTGCTGTTGAAAGGCAGCGAGCCAACCACAGTTACAACTGTAAAAACTAGATTCTTTTATCAGATTAATTTGCTTAGCCCAGCGCCTTCCAGGGGCGTGAGATACAAGTCCTGAATTTTCTAAAAAAGGAAGAAAATCTCTAATTTTATCTCGAGCGGACATGCAATGCAACAATTTAAGAATGCCAAGACGAGAGGACTTTCATATGCTGTAATAACTTTTGCAGCACCAATTTACTTTTTTTTATAAAAAATTACCATTTTTCCTAATAATAAATTCGATACGATTCTTTTTTTGCCAATGAATCCCTTTTTTTTTTAATAATTATCGAAATTAAATAAAAGTTAACAATGAATTAAAAACCTCCTATAAGGGCTTCTATCTTGATACAATGATATTTTAAGTATACATTAATTTTTATTTTTATATTAAAAGCAATATTTTTGATAATTGATAGAAATGAGTAGAATTTAGAATCTTAACCAAATATTAATATTTTCCTATTAATAATTATATTTTTTGGAAATATCCAATTTAAGTACATTGAAGTAGTGTTATATGATATAAATAAATTAAAAAAATATCATATTGATATTTATTTATTTTCCCTTTTGTTTTCTGAAGTTTTACTATTAAATTTCAGAAAACAAAAAATGTGAAATGAAAATTTCAAGCTGGTAGGTGAAAGTCTGTCTTGGATCGTGCGTTTGACGCGCGGGAGACTCGCTTGAAACCATTTAACTAACCTTGCAACTTTCGATAACCCATAATAACACAGAGAACGAAACAAACGCAACAACAACACCACAGCTTCAAAGCAAGCGGTAGAGAAAATAAAAAACAATAGTCAAAAGGCCAAACAACTCTTCTCTATAGCCATGGCCATGCTTTCTACCTCACTCGCCGGTCCCAAATCTTCTTATTGCGCTGCCCCTCAGTTCTCCGGTCTCCGCCGATCATGCCCTAAGCTTGAAAGCACTAACTCTCACTCTCTCTCTCAATCTTTTCTCCGTCATTTCAATTCTCAACTTCGCGTTCCTTCTTCTCGCAAACCTTCCGGACACGTCGTGGCCATGGCCGGCACCGGAACGGTACATTTCGTAGTCCTTCTTCTGCAATGTGTCTTCCAGATCTGTTTCAATCCATTTAAATATTGTTTTTCTAATTTCGTCTTTTTCCTGTTTGGTTTTCGGGTTTTTTTTGTTTTAATTTGTTTGTATATTTTATTTATTTATTTTGCTTAAATACTAACTGATAAGCAACAGATATTTGCAAGGTTGTTTAATATTTCTCATTTTTCTACTTGCAGTTCTTTGTTGGAGGGAATTGGAAGTGTGTAAGTTACTCTTTTCCTTATTGATTTTATTAATTTTTGTGTTTTTTCTCATGGGTTTTGTACTTTATACTGTTATTGGTTTATTTTGTTGGCTAATGAGTAATGAATTCATTAATGGGAAATGGAAATGACACCTATTCAATAGAAGTTGAGTATAGGATTCATATGGACAGGACATGTTATAGACAAGAAATGCACCTTTGTTTGAAGGTCTTTTGGGTTTCCCATTTTCATTAGCATTTTCTGTTCGTTATCAGATGCTGCAGATGCATACCTATTATATCCTTTCTTTGTTTTTTTTTTTTTTTTTTTTTTTTTTTTTTTTTTTTTTTTAGCGTGAGAGCTAACTTTATATGATTAGAGACCTCTAAATTTTGAGTGTGGAACTAAATAGCAGGTCAACTAGAGAATTCAGTTAATGCGAGAATGAGAAATAGAACACTCCTACTCTCACTCAAGAAAGACTTGCAGCCTCTACAATACGGATCTGACACTACTGGTACGGCAACAATGTAATACAATAGACAGAAAAATGCCCCTTTGTGCACACGGTTCTTTTGTGCGGTATACCCAGTGTTTCATATAAGCATTTCCTGTTCATTAATCAGATGCAGAGATGGCCTTATACACATTATAGATAGTGAGTAACACATATATCATTTATCTATAATATTTATTTAAGAAGGTTTCTTTTTTTTTTCCTATACCTGTGTTATCTTGACGTGCTGCTAAATTTCGTCAACATTTTTTAGATATTTTTAGATATATATCTTAACATATATATATATTATACACATTATTATTATAGATATTCTTATCACAGCATAGAGAAGACAGAAAAGAACCCTCTCTCATTCACTTTTTTTTTTTTTTTTTTTTTTTTTTTTTTTTTTTTTTTGTTTTTTCTCTCTCCTTTTTTTGTTTTTTCGTTTTCTTCTTATTTATTTCCATTTTGATTTCTTTCCAGAATGGGACAAAAGAATCTATCACTAAGCTTGTTTCTGACTTGAATGATGCAAAGTTGGAGGCTGATGTTGGTGAGAGAATATTTTTCTTACCTTGTGCTGTCTCATTTTCTGGTTTCCATAAAATTTGCTACTTTATGAGTGGTCTCATTTTGTTGTCTTAGCTTGATATCCAAAATTGTATTTCAAGTTTGATTGTTTAATGTTCAACCTGATGGCGACATTTTTACGGCTACAAATCCCTGCTCTTTTATCCAGATGGAGAAGAGACGTTTATATGTGGAACTTTATCCCTATTTGTTCTTGCTTTTAGAAAACAGTTAGTCTAAGTGTTACAGGGTTCTTACTTCTGATTCTTACTGTGAATTGGGCAGATGTTGTTGTCGCACCTCCTTTTGTTTATATCGATCAGGTGAAGTCTTCATTAACAGATAGAATTGAGATATCTGGTCAAAACTCTTGGGTTAGCAAAGGAGGGGCCTTCACAGGAGAAATCAGGTTGGTGTCTCATTCTTTTTATATTGTTGTCATCTTTTTTCATGATCCTTCACATAGTTTTGGCATTGCACACATGAAAGTTTTGATGTATACTTGGTAAAACATTGAACTTCTTGTGCTTGCATTTGTTTTGTCTAGTTCCTTGATTGCAGTTCTTTCATTAATTTCTTGGATGTCCATAACTTAGGATCCTTTCTTTGCAATTTATTTTGGATTATTCTGTATTAGGCTTAATGAACTAGGGTTATTCTCTTGTAATATATGGGGGCTCTGTAGTCTCTGTTGTTGCTTGTTTGGGATGAAAATGCTACTCTATTTGTTGTAAAAGTGTCTATAGTTTGGTTATAATATCTAATATTTTTCTTTTTGCAAATTATCAACACTAATTCAATTAATAAAGACTAACAAAATTAAATTGATGATTCCATAAAAGATTCTATTGTTTATCTGTGGCTCAAGAAAATTTTTATTTATTGCATTAGACTATATCTTAAACAAACTCGAAATCATGGTTAAACCAATTAATCCAACCTGACCTTTTCTAATGAAATTATACATGAATTTAAAAGGATATTAAACTTGGGGATTATGCTCTTTTTATAGTAATCATGATCTCATATATGAAGACACTCTATTGATAGCTGGGTCAGTTAAACAATGCCACTTCTTGCTGAAATTCCTAACATTTTGCTGCAGGAGGCCAATCTTTTAAAGCAAAATCCTTTGCCTTGTCTCTCAAGTTCTGAACTCTCATTTACTTTATCCTTTGTGCTGTCAAAAGTTAAATAACATGGAAATTTTATGTTGCTGTTCTTCCTAATTTTAAGCATGAATTATATCTCATTCTAATATTTGCCTTGGTCATATTAGATCTAAGAAATTCAAATTTCATTAAATTTTGATTGCATGAACCAATGGTGGTCACACACATTATTGTTTCCAAGTTATTCTCTTGCAACTTAGACTTATATGAGGGCTTTCTATCAATTGTTAGAGTTGGACGAGAAGTTCCATCCCTTACTTTTGCAAAAGCCACTCTTTTCCTGTTAAATCTAGATTCTTTTCCAAGTATAAGTATGGCTAAATAAAAATCCTTAAAAACTAATCTTATTGTACGTAGACTACAAGCAGTGATTTGTAATATATTTCAAGTGCGATCATATTTCACTCTATTAATTCCCCTGTGCTTTAGCTTTTTTAAGGCTATACATATGCGGAAAAGATAACCCACCTATGTGGTGTGTACTCACTATGGCCACTTGGCTAGAAGGTAAGGGGAGGGAGAGAGAGAGAGAGAGAGAGAGAGAAGACATGGGATATTGAAGTTAGATCTAGGAGTTTGTCTATTGTTAATCCATTATGAAGCTTCTCAACTGTTGTTCTTCTCCTGGTCTTCCTTATAATTCTCATACTTTGTTTTGCAGTGTGGAACAACTGAAAGATATTGGCTGCAAGTGGGTTATTCTTGGGCATTCTGAGCGCAGGCATATAATTGGTGAAAAAGATGAGGTGCAAATAGGATAGAAATGTTTTTTTGAATGGTTTCAAGGAGTAAATAGTACTTGTACTTGCAGCTTAATTTCATTTTCACTGAATTTCAACAATGCTTCTGGAATTTAATTTGTAAAGCGGGATCACTATTTGATTTCATTCCATTAATATCACCCTTGCTAGATTTTGGTAGAAATTCCAGCCAGATCTTTTGACGTGACATCCTAGTAAAATTTTTTCTAGGATAGCTCTACAATTAAAAAATAGGCTATGTGAAGTGAAGCATGTCTACCGTGACGCCAATTTCTCTGCGGATTTCCTTTCTAAAGTTGTTGCTACTTATCCTTTTGGTACTCACGTTCTCTCGTCACCTCCTCCTGGCTTGGATTCATGGCTGCTTCATGACTCTGTTGGTGTTGCTCACTCTAGAATGTGTTTGCTTCCTTAGAGCTTACCCTCCCCTTGTATTACCAGAAAAAAAAAAAAAAAAAAAACCTTAGAGAAAACTTACCCTCCCCTTGTATTACCAGAAAAAAAAAAAAAAAAAAAAAGGAAAAATAGGCTATGTTGATTTTCTTGTTTTAGGGCTAGCGCAATTTAAATTTGGTTGAATCTCTGTTGAATTTGGTGATAATGTGACCTGTTTGAAACAAATCAAAGTGAGTTGATTTTGCTATTCCAAAATTGAAGGTTCTGGTGACCATTGTTAAGTGATAAGTTCAGTTGGGATGAAACAAAGCTCTGATTCTGCTTAAACTGTTTTGATTTACTTAGAACTGTGAACTGAAGTTTTACTGTCTCCAGTTTATAGGAAAAAAAGGCTGCTTATCAGCCTTGAGCTGAGGGCCATTCGGGCGTGATAGCTTGTATCGGTTTTTGAACTGTTAGAAGATATAGAGAGGGCAGGAAAAACCTTTGATGTTTGTTCTTCAGCAATGAAGGCCTATGCAGGTAATTGCTTAATTTTATTTCTCCTAAAATTACAAGGTAAATAATAAAAATTAAAAAAAAAAAAAAAAAAAAAGGAAAATAGGCTATGTGATTTTCTTGTTTAGCTAGCGCAATTAAATTTGGTTGAATCTCTGGTTGAATTTGGTGATTGTGACCTGTTGAAACAAAATCAAAGTTGAGTGATTTTGCTATTCCAAATTGAAGTTCGGTGACCATGTTAAAGTGATAAGTTCAGTTGGGATGAAACAAGCTCTGATTTGCTAACTGTTTTGATTTACTTAGAACTTGAACTGAAGTTTTACTGTCTCCAGTTTATAGGAAAAAAGGCTGCTTATGCCTTGAGCGAGGGCCTCGGGGTGATAGCTTGTATCGGTGAACTGTTAGAAGAAAGAGAGGCAGGAAAAACCTTTGATGTTTGTTTTCAGCAATTGAAGGCCTATGCAGGTAATTGCTTAATTTTATTTCTCCTAAAATACAAGGTAAATAATAAATTACATTAAAGAGAAGAACTTTTTCCTGACACCACTGAAATCATTATTTGTATTCTGTAGATGCTGTACCCAGTTGGGATAAAATAGTTATTGCATATGAGCCTGTATGGGCTATTGGGACTGGTAAAGTGGCCACACCACAGCAAGCTCAGGAAGTTCATGTGGCTCTTCGTGATTGGCTTAAGAAGAATGTCTCGGAAGCAGTTGCATCAAAAACACGGATCATCTATGGAGGTACTTTCACATCTTTGTTGAGAAACAGGGTTTTGCCTTCATGATGTTTAGCCTGAATAAACTGTGAAGCATATACTTGACACACACATGAATATTCTTTCAACAAAAGGGTCATGTTTGAATTGATTTGCTCTAATTGAAAATGTAATGTAATTCTTGAAATAAAATCCCATTTTTTGGTTTTGTCTAAGAGGATTCTAATTTTTTTAACATTTAAATAATTTGAATTTATGTTTATACGATATCTATTCTTAATGTAACCAATAAGTTTATTTATTTAAAAGTTAAATATGAAAAAGAATTATTTAGATTTAGACATTCCATTATATTTCCAAGGTGAATGAAACATGAGGCAGAATTGTACCTGAAGCTTTTGAGTTCAATTGGTTAATGTTTGATGTTGCGAGTTGGAGACTGGCCATTTCTGGGTGTTTCATCAGCTGTTATCATATAGTTATAGTAATGATTTGATGCTAAACTGTTTCTTGGTCTGAATGTGTCAGTCGTATAAAGGCCTTGTTTGCTAGAAGTGAATCACACAAAAAATTTTCCAAATTCATTTCAAATTCTATGTTTTCATGTATGGTATGAAAGAAAATGGTCATTTGTAAATGAACTTTATATGTCAAATTCATTTATACATTATGTTGTTCCGTATCTTGTTAGCTGTTGTTGCTTATAATCTAATGCATTTGAGTTCCCCTTTCAGGATCTGTAAATGGAGGTAATTGTGCTGAACTTGCAAAGCAAGAAGATATTGATGGTTTTCTTGTTGGAGGTGCATCCTTAAAGGTATATTCCCGCCATTAACTTTTTGTTTCAAGATTGTAGAAATATTTTTGCTCTGCTTGTGCAAGGCCTAAATAAACTTGTTGACACTAGCATTGATTACTAAAATATAATTTATTGTGATGCAGGGCCCTGAATTTGCAACCATTGTCAATTCTGTAACATCCAAGAAAGTTGCTGCTTGATTATGTAGATTGGTCTTGGTTATACGGGCAAATAAGGGGCAAAAAGAGGATTCTTCAGTTTGAAGCTTACCATGAGCTAGTCTAATTGAATGGAGTTTTGATTATTTATCCATTTCTTTTTTCGTTTTTCCTTCCTAGAAAGAAAATGGTTCTTCGCTTGTCCTTGTTTTAAAAATAATTACAGTAAGAATGTATCAGATTAAAAAGAATTAATGTAACAATGTATCATGTTGATGTGCCATAATCTCAATGAAGCCCCGTCTTTTTATCATGCTGTCTTTAGCTTGTGCAAGTGCTCACTGCCTATTTTTAGTATCAGATAACAAGAGGAAGGTTATGACAAAAAATAATGTCTCAAAAAAATACTACTACTAGTATTGTGATTTGCAAACTTACTAGAAAATTAATGTAAGAGGGCTGGATTTCAATGCATTAAAATTCCCAATAAAATTAGAGTTTCCCCAAAATCTCACAATCTTGATGTTACTTGCATCACGTGGGACTGATCCAATGCCAGTTTTCGGCAAGTTGTCAATTCTCGCTGTTCTTGACTTTGGAAATGATAGCTATTATGGGGATGAGAGAGTCGTCTCTGCAAAAGGGTTTCCCGAACTGCAATTTCTTCGATTGTCTTTGGCCATGCAATCTGAAGTTGATAAATATAGAAGAAGAAGCTTTGCAATACTTTCTGCTATAAATATATACTCTGTCAGAAAGTCTATTTCCTGCACCGTTTTTACTGTGATTTTTTGTTTCTAAACATCGTCTATAAATTAAGCTTTCATTATTCACTTTCATAACATGTGCAGTTTTTCTTACTGGTCTTCCTGGAATTTTGTACAGTAAGGGGATTTATCATTTGAGCCATTGTTGAACAGTAAGGAGATGATCAACATTTCAAAATGTCAGCCTGTAACAATGGCTTGAGATTCTCTACTTTTCCATCTCAACCACAATTGTCCCCCTTTTCTTTTTTAGTAGGGAAGGGGACTTGCCGATTTGGTATATCTATCTGCTATAGCTGTTGTTATCAAACTAAGCAAATGTGCTCATAATGGGTTCCTAACTTGGATGCCAAGCTTTAGAAGCACAAACATAATTTGGTTTTCCATATATATATTGCAAATCTCTTCCAAAATACCTTCTTTTAACTTCTTTGCTAATTTTCATTGCAACACAAATAAAACTTGGTATCAACACTTGAGTGTGTGAATTAGCAAAACAAAAGGTTCCCAAAAGAGATAGATGTCAAGTTGTCTACACTCAAAGTATATATTCTATAGCCAACACCTGATATAAAACCAACCCAACTCTTATCAACCTTTGCATTAATCATTCTTGAATAGAAAGAATCAAAAAGAAAGAATGGAGTGGTTCTATCCTAAAAGAAGGGGTCCTGATTGGAAACAGGGTTGGGCTGGCCAGACCATGAATTCCATTTCTACACCACCACCTTCATTACTAACCATTTTTGGAATTGTTATTCTCCTGCTGTGGCTATCTCAGTATACAGGATATAAGGCTCAATTGCGCCACTCAGCAATCAATTTTCAGCTGTTTATTTTCTTGTTGCCTATTCTATTAATATTGTTGTTGGCTTGCTCCTCTACCAACTGGATGCTTTATTTTCGACACCGGCAACCACAGCCTGATTCAGCTCGGCCGGACAGCGGCTCTTCCCCTTGGGGTATGGCTATCTTTGTAGTTGTGCTTCTTGTGTTGCTTTCTTATCAATCTTCATTTCACTCTAAATGGTTTGGTCCTCTTTGGAAGTCAGATTAGTTGTGTATATTTTGTATAAAATGGCAAGGAAAGGGAAGAAAAAATGTGGTGGATGTTGATAATACGTATAATAGCGTGGCAGTTTTAGAAATTTTAGTTTGTTTGTGAAGCAAATTATAGCATATAAGGTTTTGATATAACGTGCATTGCAATTGAAAGTACTTTGAAAGAAATATGTTTCTTACTTATATTTATTTAAGGTTTGGAGATCAAATATGCATTTTTTTTCTTAAGAATTTCATTTTTCAGATATATTTGCTTTAATTTTATTTTTTATATGAAATTGAATTTTTAGTCACGAGAAGTTCATTTAAAAAATAAAAAATAAAAAATAAAAAAGAAAATAAATGTTTACCATCATTTATATATGTTTATCAAACAAAATTCATCGGTACTTTTTTTTCTTTAATATATTGGACAGTTCAAAAGCCAAAATAACAGCAAGAGTTAAATTAATAAAAATTCTTATAATCAAAAGTACTCCGAACTAAGTTCATAACATTAAATTGGATTAATACATTAAAAATTTATTTATCCATCATTTTTTATTCATTTAACCACGAGATATCTAATTTTATATTTATTTAATGGTCCACATAATTCGATTATTTTTCATTTATTTCGACATGAACTACAGTTGATTTGTGAAATTTGCTTTGAGAGGGTTCAAACTCACGACATCTCCATCGCTCGATCCCTTTCGAGGTAATACCACACCTATGAAATCACTACTAGAAGTATTTACATGTGATTTTGACTCACAATAAAAAAATAAAAAATACCTCCCTTCAATCCTTCTTCCTGCCTCAATGCACGCAGCAGGTCAACGGACTCATCCGTCGACCTCATTGAATAAACTCCAATGGCTTACGGTGCAATCTTCTTCCTCGACAAACAACTCCTATAAATCCCACTATATTACAGATTTCACAGAAATATTCCATTGTTAATCGCAATGCTCTCTGCAAAAAGAAACAAAATAATCTTCCCTTCATCTGCGGCTGAGACAATTGCCAACAACGATGATCTCTTAATCCAGATCCTTCTCTGTCTACCCATCAAATCTCTCTTCAAATTCAAGTCGGTGTCAAAGCACTGGCTCTCTCTCATCACCAATCCTCTCTTCTCTCGTCGCCTATTCCCCTTCAACTCCCCATGTGCTCTCTTCGTGCGTAAGTCGTTTCGTTTGGAAAATGAATTCGACTTTATTATGATTGATGACAAGTATTCCATTGATGCACCCTTTAAAACTCTTGAGTTCATTGATGACACCATACGAATTATTCAGTCTTGTAATGGATTGTTATTGTGTTCCAGTGTTCAATTTTATTTACCTGAAGCAAAATATTACGTTTATAATCCTACCACCAATCAATATGCTATACTTCCTCCACTAACCGGATCAGCCGATGAAATTTGCGGCCTTTATTTAGCTTTTGATCCTCTGAAATCACCTAATTATAAAGTTATTCGTCTGCTTCAATCCGAAATTTCTGAACCTGATTTTCAGATAGAAATTTATTCGTCGAAAATTAATCATGAATGGAAGGTTTCAAATGCAGGTTTCACTTTAGAAAGCTTAGACATTGGAACCCATGACGGTGTCTTCTGCAATGGTGCTATTCATTGGTATACTGATTTTGGCCCGTCTTTTTATTTCGATGTTGATAAAGAACAAGTCAAAGAAATGGCAATGCCTGCAACTCCAGAGGAATGGTATCGGAGGAGGGTGCTTTATTTTCGAGAGTGTAGAGGACATTTATATCTGGTTGAGATTTATAATGCTCCCTCTACAAAATTTAATGTGTGGGAAATGGAGAAAGACTACTCTGGATGGATTGTTAAGTACAGGATTGATCTTGATGGAATTGTAAGAGCATTTCCAGGGATGATTAGAAGCTATCTTGATCCATCAGCTTTGAATTATTATGTGTTTCAAATAATGTATATTGTTAAGGGAGAAAGAGATGAAGATGAAGAAGATGATGGATCCTATTTGGTTCTGCACATTCCTACAAAAATCATAAGGTATAATTTGAAGGATAAGAGTTTTAAGAAGCTTTGTGATTTTAATCCATATGAACAGGAGGACGCGTCCTATATGATACATTATGGTGCCTATGAATATATTCAGAGCCTTGCTTGTGTTTGATCATGTACTTCATGTTTTTTCTTCAATCAAAAATTATATATATGATGATCAAGAGTTGAATCACATTTGAAACTTATGGGATCATTGTTCATAAAATCTGCATTTAAAAAAAGGATTAAACTCATAAATAAGTTACTTTTTTTTTTTTTAGTATAAATAAGTTATTGAAAAATAAGATAATTATATGAAAATTTAGACCTAAAAATATAATTTATCTAGATTAAACCAATAAATTGCATTAGAATTTTTTTTTTATTCGGTTCCTCCACCACCGCGAACCCTAATTAGATTCAGACTTTTTAGTTATTGGGAGAACTCAAGTACTCTTTTTCGGATCCAGAAAAGAACTTTCAAAGATTTTTTTTCTTTTTGAAAAATACACGAGCGAAACAATCAACCTATTGATATTGGAAGACCCAAATGGATCATTCTAAGTCCAATGGAATTCATAGGTATAGGAAGAAGTCTTGTCAATTAAAAATAGAGATTTTTTCTCTCGACCTTATAATTTGTAAAGTCAAGTTTTCGTCTGAATGAAAAATTTCTTTTAGAGTTATTCAAAAAACCATATAATTTATTAAATGAAAATATAAGTTTTAGTATACCATTAGATTTGAAGATTCATATATGGATTCATAAATTTTAACCATAATTAAGATATTTGCTACTTGTAAATCAGATAGACATTATACTAATGATATTATTATATTACATTTTAATTAGTAGATATAAAACTAATCCTATGGATAAAAACAATTCAATTTATTTTTTTTAAATTTAAAATTCTATTATCCTAAAACTCTACTTGTAAAATTCTATGAAATCAAATTCATATAAAATAGAATCCAACAATGGTTAACAATTATTGAAATCATATATCTAAGGTTGGATCTTAATTTCTCATTTTCTGAGAATAGAACCAAGATTAAAATTATAAAAATAATAAAAAGAAAAATTGTGAAATAAAATATTATCTAAGAAATTCTTAATTTTTTATTATATTATATTTTTTTAAATAAAAGTTAAGATTTTTTATCTGTGATATAAAACTAAAAATAAATAAATAATAAATAATAATTTTGATAATAAATTAAAACTAAATCAAAATTAATTCAAAAATTGCCTTAATTTCTTTTAGTTTTGATTTTTCTAAGTTAACCTTTTTCCAAAATCTAGAATTATTGAAATTGATAAGGCCATGGTAATGCAATCTTGAAGCAAGGAAAATGATAAGGCCAAAATACAAAAGGTAACATGGACCCCACATCTACTGTTGCTAGTTCAGGAGGTGGATTGGATTAAATATTATTGGACCACCAGGCATGTGGTAGGTACAAAATCAACCCCTTCTTCCATTTTCACAATTCAAGGAACTCTTCTGCTTTGTCAACATGCCCCTTAGACAAATTCATCCCACAAACCAATCTGCAATCTCTCTTTATTTAATCAAAAAATGTTTTCTATGCCAAATGGCACAATCTAATTGGTAACATCATTTTATAAAATGTTATGGATTATTAATTAAAATGAAATTAAGAATAAATGAAATACCTCTTCTCTAAAAAAAGGAAAAGAAATGTTCTGCTTTATTACATAGGTTAGGCCCATTAACTAGTCCTCCTAATTAAAAAAAAAATTAAAAACAAGAAATTCTTATGTGATCATTGATCATAATAAAAGGTATTAAATAACAATTTATTGACTTTCTGACATAATAACATCCTTATTTTTTTAAAACTAAATTAAAAAATTATTGAGATTTTGGTCCATTAATTATTTAATTTATACAATAAGTACTAATTAAATTACAATTTTTTTTTAAAAAAAAGACACTGATATCAATAGTTGAATACTCAAAGTAACTCTTTACTATAATTTTAAAAAAAAGATTATGAATTTTGTTTTACAAATGTTTCTTATGCTCTTTCTTTCTTTCTATGGAATTAATTTAATAATTATAAAAAGAAAAATTTTGAAGGTTTGGTGAGACGGATAAGGATTGGGATTTTGGGTAGTAATGCTATAGTTTGATGATCTCTCCATCATTCCATAAGAATTATTTAAATATATGTGATGGCATCATTTCTGCTAATAGGACAAAACTTCAATAATGGCCATTACCTTGTAACTTAATTAAGTGAATTATAATTAACTTTTCTTTTAAAACAATTATTAGTCCTAATCCCAAATCATCAAGCAAAGTTCATTATCCACATACAATGAAAGCACCCAATAACTCATATCATCACTACCCTAAAATCTGCAACCAAAGAAAAGAAAAAAAAAAAAAAGCATATTGCTTAATCTTTATTTAAATTAGATAACATAAGTACGGGTGTAAACAAGATAAACCAAGCTCGAATCTTATAGTTTTAAGTTCGGTTCGATACTCGATGAAAACATTAAGAGTTAGAGCTCAACTCAAAACTCAAATTCAACTTGAAAAATTTTAAACTCGAGACTGATACTTGAATAATTTAATATATATATATATATATAACTCAATAAATGTTCAAAACCGTTTGGCTCGAGCTCGAGCCCAACTTTTTCTAAATTTTTTCAGTTCGCAAGCCGGACTGCTTATTTACACACAACCCCCCCTAAACATGAGAAACAATAATTAGAAAGTTGTGAATCTGAAATTAAACAGGAGCAAAACTCATGATTTCTTCAAACATTACCACAATTTTCTCAGCATCCAAACAGAAGCAAAACTTTCAGCTTAATTAGCACAACAGAACCATATAACTAATAATTAACCAAATTAAGTTAAAATTTACTTTCATTAAGATCTCATAACATAAGAACCATATAATTAACAAAGAAAGTAATAATTAGAACCCTAATCAAACCACAAAATTACATATCATCATGTATACTAATTAATTATTTTCAATACAAAGTCTCTCTCTATACACACGTATACAACTCTCTATATTTAGTAAATATATATTATCTTAAAAACAGAAAACCCAACTTCTTGAAATAAAATTACCAAGCAGTACCATAATTTCAGTGTCAAAACCAGCTATCAAGGAAGGCAGACTGGAATTGCACCAAAACAAGAAGCAAAACAATCAAAGCAGCCACACCCCACGGCGAGCTTCCCTCCGGCGGACGGCGGTGGGTGCCGCGTTTCCAATCCCAAGGTGATTTAGCAAAAAGCATATCTGGGTTTTCCATTGATGATAACCAACGAACAATAAATAGAAGTAGGAGAGGTGTGGCTAAAAGTAGCCAATTCATTTGCTCCTCAGCTGCCTCCACCATATCTTCATAGCTAAAATACCAAGAAATCCCAAGAAATATTAAAATAACTGCTAAAACTAAAAGAACTGGATATGGTAGAGGATTTAGAGAGAAGACATCAAAGATTGAGTTGCTTCTTCTTCCGTAATAATAGTAGGTCATCGTTCTTGCTTTAGTTGAGTTATCATCAAAGATTGAAGAGGCCTTTAAGAGTTGTGGGACAGTGTATTTATAGGAAAATATGTTGTCAGTAAAGTTAGGTATTTTTGTGTAGGATATTGCTTCACGAAAGATTTGACAGTTTTTCTACTTCAACCGTTGATTTCTTGACTCTTTGCATGGTTACACTGGTCAAATGATCGTGTGGTTGAAAGCAATGTATTTATATTGATTGGGAGCCCAACTGGACGAAAGAATATAATATAATAAGTGAAAAATACTGAACAGATCACCCATGATTGGTACTATTAATAGTTAATTTGATTCGATAAACAACTGATAGAAAATTAATGTTGGATCTGGACTGGCAAGTAAAATTTACCTATAGATAGAGCTGAGCAAATGATTACTTCGATTCAAACCGAACCGATGCTATAAAAAATAAACTGAAATTTTTTGCAACAAACTGAATCAGACCCAAATTCACAACCAAATCAAATCAATTAGTTCACTCTATTTTTATCTGTTTTTTTATTTCGGTTCGATTTTAAGTCTAATTCAAAAATAAATTTAGTTCAAGCCGAATGACGCTTGATTGAACCAAACCAAAATGCATCGGCTCGTTTTCGGTGCGGTTCGGTGGGTAGTTTTGCTCAACCCTAGCTTTAGAAACAATCGGATCCAATTGTCTGTCGGTTAAAATTCGACTCTTTATTATTAATAGAATGAAATATAAATCTCTTATTGTCAAAAAATATTTCACAATCCTAAAATGGAAAACTATGTACGAAATCACAAATCACTTCTTTTAGGTGAATTATTATGTAATTCCTTTATTGAAAAATTAATTTAATATCCTTTTCTTTTTTTTAAGAAATAATATCCTTTTATTTTAATTTCATCTAACTATTATATTTCTCTGTTGAGAATAGATAGATTGAGGGATTTGAATCCCTAACTATTATATTTCTCTGTTAAAACGTTGAAATGTGAATTTTACCATTTATTATGAATAACTATTTTATTTAATAATTAGAATATAAATATATCATTATTAATTAATTAATTAGAATATAAATTGATTTAATAATCCTTAAATTTTGTAATATTTTAATTATATAGTCTTTTTGTTGTTTCTAATTTGCTAATTTTTAAATTATATGTTGAAAAAAAATGAGAAAAGAGGATTAATTATTAGTTCATTCATAAAGTAAAAGCTCCGAATTGTATTTTGACAACTCTTCTTCTTCACTGATTTTCAACAATATATAATCAATCCCTATTAAAGAAAATGTTTCCACTTACATAGCCTACAGTGCTATAAAGAAAATCCGGGGGCCAAAAAGAATATCTCTAAAGTGCCAAATTGAAAAATCATCCACTGGGATAATGGATCAAATTGAAAAGAAAGTTGAGAAATGAGAAATCTATTCTAATCTTGTTGGTGGACCAGTCAAGTTTCCATTTGAAAATAGAAACATAGTTGGGTCCCATTTTTTCAAATGATAAATCAACTTTTTCATCATTGCCTTGTGTGGCCAATAAGCCATTTACATTTCTTAATCCCACTTTAGCAATCATAACCTCGGGATTAGTTACTTAATAATTTAAGTATAAAATCATATAAAAAATAAATATATAATATTAAAATTTTTAAATATTTAATCATTTCAAAGAATTTAATTATAAAAAGGATAAGATCAATTAGATTGATGGAATGTAAAACCTTCATAAATTTAATAAAATATTAAATTTTATGAATTTCATGGAATTTTACATTTTATTTTTTAAGTTGAAAAATGAAATAAATCGATTTAAAGGGTATTTTTGAAATAAATTAAATGGTTTAATACCATCTTTCATTAAAAAATATACATGTAAAGGTCTCCAAATGGGGTTGCTTATTATGTGTTGGCTAGAGCAACTCATTCTATGTCAGATGTGGGTGAATGGGTGGACGATCCTCGTGAATTTCTCCTGCAAATTTTGTATCTGGATCGCTAGTATTATAATATCCTTTTGGTTTAATATATATATATATATCTATATATATATTAAAAGTTAGAATGTTTATCGTGTGATAAAAAGTTAGAATATTTATAAATATTATACCAAATAGTAAAATTAATAAAAATAAAATTTTAATTTAATCAAATCAGTAAAAGCCAACTGAAAAGCTGAAACCAAACAGAAGAATTTGATAAATTTATAAAAAACTTAAATTTCATTGCTCAAATTTCATGCGTCCATATCACCTCTTTATATATCAAACTTCAGAGTCAGGATCCCAAATAGAGTGAAATTGCAATTTCGGGAAAAATAAGTGAAAGAAATATGTGGTTGATGACTGTGAGGATCCCAAATGCTCAACATATTTGCGAAATGAATGTAGGGATGATAACCCACCTGAAAATAGATATTATTTTTTCTTTTATTAAAAAATTAACTTATGTTTATATATTTAAGTATTTATATATTATAATTTTAATAAAAAGTATATCTATATCAACATTATGTCCAAAATTGTAACCTATAGTTTACTTTTTGAACAAAACAAATTTATATTTTATAATGATACATTGAAATAAAATAAAAAACAAAAAGAATAAAAAATTCTCGTAACAAAACTTGCTCTGCTACAATTTCCGACGGGGAAGTTCTCCCTGCAAGACCAATCTTTTGTGGGGCGAGGATGGGAGAGGCAATCCCCAACCCTGCCTGTTGCCCCATTTGGCATCCCTAGTGTAGGAATGAGAATGTTAAAATAGATGAGTAAATAAAAAAAAAAATTAAAAATGACCACATCCAATAAAAAGTACAAGTAGCATAAATTGAAAATAAAATAAGAGATAAAAGGGGAAAGACATGTGAGATGGTTTAGTCATATACTACATAGGTCCTCATGTGCTTCAGTTGCAAGTTCGAGGAAAAGATAAAACTTAAGAGAACCACGTGGAAGGAAATTATCTCAAAAGATCTACAACTTCATGATATTATTGTGAACTTCACTCGTGAACAGAATGAAATGAAAATAAAAAATTCATATAACCGACCTTGCCCAATGAGGCGAAAACAAAAGTTGGAGACTTTTGAATCAGAAGCTTTCAACAGTGATTTCAACTTTATCAACCAATCAGCTTCATCAACCCTTTTTCTCCTTAGCTTCCATTTTCTTTTTTCTTTTTTACTTTTTTCAAATTGGATTTAATGTTTCTTGTCCACAATAACTTTTCTGCTGCTGCATACAAAAACTTGCGTGGAAACCACACAGCCAAACCAACTTGTTACCTCTCAAAAATCAGCATTGCAATTAAACATCAAAGGCAATTTTTCTTTAACATCTTATTTGGTATAAATGAATTCGAAGTATAAAATTCATGCATAAATCATCGAAATTATTAATCATTTGAATTCTATGAAATTTAATTTGTAGGAGTAAAACAAACATTTTTGGTCATACAAAACAAAACATAAAATTTCCAATGAAAGTTCATAATATTTGATAGACCTCATTTGCCTAACTTCAGACACCACAAGAGAATCATCAATGATACAATAGTACGAATGAAGACTAGGGTTTGCCCACACTAGAAATCTGGACAAAATGTAAGGAACTTCATATACACCTAATACTAACAATTATAAGTTGTCTGTCACCTCTTAAGAGTTAGAGGGAATCTATGCCTCAACAATGAATTAGATGATGGAACTGAAAATTTTATAGCAAGCTTGACAGCCATGGGGATATGAGGACTAGGCAGACTGGAATTATCAAGGTTCTGAATATTTTTATGATTGAATAGGATGACAACAAGCGATTGTGATTCTCTCAATAATTAAAGACTCGCCTATACAAAGTGTATAAACCTAGCTGCTATGATAATACCATGTGAAGAATATGGGCACAAGTTTCTCCATTGAGGAAAAATATTGTCAAAAATAATTTCAATGAACAGTTTTTTAAAATTGGTTGTATGAGGTGAGGTATCCCCAAGCATAGTAGGTGAGAGTATTTCTGAAATTTATGTTTTATAATTATTTTTAACATGGGGCAATTGCGAGACCAATGATTTTATATGCGAGTAAATGTTGGCTTCCTAAGGTCCATGTTCACAAGTTGCATGTGGTAGAAATGCAGAAGTTAAAGATGAATATGAGGACATAAAATATTAGACAAGATTCAAAATAATATATCCGACAATATGCAAGTAGCACATATTAAGGATAAAAAGAAGGTGTTTGAGATACTATGGTCATATTTTGTGTAGACCTCCACGTGTCCGAATTCAAGAATGCGGTACTTTAATGGTGGAAAGTGTCAAAGGAAAGAGGTAGACCTAAAATCATCATGGAGGGAAGTTGTCTCAAAGGACCAACTACTACTACTTAAACTCAATTACAAAACAAACATAAGGGAAACAAAAGATTTATATAATTGACCTCAACTAAGGTTAAATTGTTGTTGTTTTTATATGTTTTCTTTATAAACAAGGGGAAACTAGAATGGAAATTTTCATTATCAGAATTACCTATGCAGTAATTTACATAACTATCAAAGAATAAAAAGTAAATAAATAAAGTAAAGATTACTCTAATTTAACATTTAGGCCATTTCTTTTTCTGATCTTTTCTTACCAGTAGGAAAATCTTAAATCAAACTTTTCCTTCATATTTGAAATTCAGTTTGTAATCATGTTGCAAAATTGCCAAGGTACTTCTGCAAGGACCCTCTGCAAAAGTAAGTACACCAGAAGAAACATTATGTTAAGCCAAAAACTCTTCTGGTATCATACTTCAACAACCTGGTCAACAAAAGTCTGCTCACCTCCAAATACAGAATGAAGATACTGAAGATCATCATCTGAGCAGGCATCTATTAGAGCATATACACCTGGTCTCAGAGCTTCATCTATTTCTCTGAACGTTAATGGTAAGGAAACAAAATGGTTTTGTTAGAATCGCACAGGGCTCAAATTTTATTTCAAGTAAAAACAAGTCTCAATTGTAAGCAAGGTGAAAGTAATGCTTAAGACTGGAGACCACCTTCTGATGCCAGTTTTAAGGGGACCGTATCCTGAATAAACCCATATGTAATTTGATAAAAACTTGTAGCAGTGCTTGCCAAAGATGTCACTTTGCTGTCGTAACTGTGAAAGTAATAATTGAGAAACAAATAGGGCTAGACATGACAAAATTAAAACAAGTATTGAGACTACATATAAACAACAAAAGTTTACACTAGTTAGAAATAACACAAAGGTTTTAACTAAATTAGTTTTTCATAGTTAGAAATAACACAAATGTTTTAACTAATATAGTTATATTAGAACTTGATGCAATCAGATGAAGGCAATTGAAATGAACTATTACAAGTTGACATTTTGTTCACTTGAATAAGGTTTATAACTCATAGGTTCTCTTTGGTTGGATAAATTCACGAATACAATAACAATAACTAAGCCTTAATATCAAACTAGTTGGAGTCTGATTCCATTCCGCTCTATTGGCTAGAAAGGAATAGTTTCTATCATGCTATAAGATTTGCTTGAAGCACTTCTGCACCTCTTCATAAATTTGAATCTTTATTCATGCAGTTTGAATATGTTGCTTCTACAAACAATGGTCATTGACCTTATTGCTTATTTTCCTTCTAATTTGTCACTATTAGGTCGCATAATTTAAATTTTGTTTTGATTTTGGTACTAGGATACTATCACCTAATTCTCAGAAATCCCACAGGAAAACTGAGATGAACCCTTGTGTGGAAGCATTCATATGCATACTCAGGTCTGATAGCTCATACAGACTTACATGTATTTTTTAGGCACAATATTCCTCTCTCTGAATCTACTAGTGAAATCATATAAGTGTACACAAGCTATCCTAACTGAATATGTACATACATGTCAGATAACTGGTAAATGCCATCATTCGGGTGATTAGGGAATTAAGTGATTACCAAATTGAAACAAAATCAAAGCCATGTGAGCCAATCACAAAAAAATTGAAATTGCAAGACCAAACTAAAATTTTAATGAGAAGCTTACTAATGATCAGCACAATTAAATACCCAATGTTCATTATATTTTTAATGTGGGTGACATCATTAAGATACCACATACCTCTTCATAAATCCTCCGGAGATAGCAGGCACATTCCACTCCCGCTTGAAACCCCCATGAAAAATAACTTTTTCTGACTATCAAGTCATTATCCACCGTCTCCAAACAACTAAGAAGAATACAGGAAGATTCCTGAAGCAAAGGAATGCAATCCTCTGACGTCCTGGAATTGCAAAAATAATCACCACAATTACATTCATTAGCTAATTTTCAGAGAAAAGCATATCAAAGAAGAGAAATTGAGCAAAAAATATACATCCCAGATAAATTTTGGTCTCCAATCTGCATGTTGCATGATTGAGAAGAGACGATCACATAGCAATAGCAATAACAGACTGCCTAGACACGATTAAAATAAATTAATGGATAACAACACAGGCTGAAAAGATTTTTTAGACACTTTAGGAGGAGAATGAAAAAAGAAAGGAACTCCCGAATGTAAAAAACCAGAAGAGGGAGAGGAGATTATATAAAGATTAAGAATAAAGCATCCTCTACTAAATTCTACAAGTACAAAAGAATAATTTGAAAAATTAACAGAGTAAAGCTTTTAATTCCGCTAGATGCCAACAAAACGCATTCATTTGCATTCATCAGAAGAGGCATAAAGAAGGAAGGAAAAGAATTTATAAGACTCGGTCCCTAAAATATTTGGCATTCCCTTCTAACCAAATACAACAAACGTGGAATAACTGCACTCTTTTTTTCCTAGAGTACGCATAGAAGCCCATTTTCCCTAGAAGAAGCCTCAAATAGTATAGCAATTTAAACATTACAGACAAAATAAGGAGCAGAAAAGAAAATACTAGGAAACTGAGGAAACACCAACTATACAGGAAGGAATACTCGTTACCCTTCAAATCAAAAAGTATACTTCCAATCTTTAACCTTTTACTTTGTATGGATGTCAAGTTTTGGCCCGACAACTAGAGACCTAACTGCAAAAAATGTGAACATGCTACCTAGCTTCTTCAAGGACATCTAAAGAGAGAAATTACCTTTTGCATTTCTTCAAAGTTGTGTATAGTAATCGGCAGCAAGAAGCAAATAATTCTATTGAGAATTGTTGATCTACATCACAGGAATGCATGCCTGCTACAGGACCACCATCTTGGTTATCCAGGAACAAGAATTTATCAGATAGAAGTGGGCCTTCAAAAAGTCTAAGTTGACTGAAATCTTGAAAAAGTGCTCCAGGTATGCGCAAAGTTTGTGCCACATGCCAAGAATCCTTAAGTTTTCCTTTTCCAGAAATTCTTGTTAGTACCTGAACACACATGAGAATGACTGCTCCTGGATCTGGACCCTTGCAGATACTACCAGTTGGCATACCATAGAAAAGTAATGGACTTTGCAAGTGAAGGATTATGTTGAATAGCGATGGAATTAAACTCTGAACATGCTTTTCTGAAAGTTTACGACCTGTAAAGCAAGTCATGGGTTTAGAACAAAGAAGGTTCCAATTAACATGGGAATGTATATGCAGTCAAGAAATCAATTGATGATAGAATCTAATGTGAGGGTATGATAAAGAAATGGAAAAAATAAAGCAGATGTCGCTCACAGGATTAAGGTAGGGTGCTTGAAACGTGGAAATGCAAATAAGGATCGGATGAAAAATGAGTATATTTGTAGGAAGGCAAAAGGGGCACCAATTCAGGATAATTGAAGGCAATTAAATGGCTAGGCTGTAGCCGACATAGTTCAACAGGTGCACCAGTACAAAACCATGAGCATGCCAAAGCCATAGAAACACAGACAAGGAATTCAAGAAAATTCAAATCCAAAGACCGAAAACCACAGAATGATTGTCCAGATTTAATTAGGGTGTAATTAGGGAAACATCATAGAGTACTTCTGGTGTTTTTAGAGATTTTATCTCTGTGTTTACTTAAATAATTGTTCATTGATTATTTGAAGAAATCTGTCCCCTACTTCTTTAGGAGTCTGGATTTATTTTAGGTCCTCATTGGGTTAAGATAATAGTGCTCCTTTTCATTTATTTTTGGAGTCCAAACCCTTAACACTATGTTTGGACAGGGTAAAGTGAACAATAGTGGAGGTTCATTAAAGAAAGAGAAGAGGAAGAGAAGGAAAGTGAAGTTGAAAATTTAACCCTCCAACCTCCACTTATTTGGGGAGGAGTGGGGAGAGTTCAATAACATAAAGTGTTAGAATTACAAAAATATTCTTATTCATAAAAAGCCTAAAACAAAGTGTACAAGGATAAGATAAACAAAATACACTTTTAGTCTTTTGATGAAACATTTACCCCTCCTTACACCTGAATTTGAGGCGTGCAAAATTCAGAAGTTTGGGGGATAAAGAAAGGAAACACTTACCCTTCTTTACTTTCAAATAAAAATTCTATTACAAAAAAGAAGTTAAGGATATCATTTCCCCACTTATTCTTCCTTCCCTATCCTACTCTCAGTTCAAACATAATACAAGAGGATGACTAGTTTTGAAGTCCTATAGTAAAGGTTTAAGATTAGTCCGTAGAGCTTTCTATTTCAAATTTTAGTCGATAAAATTCCAGAATGTAAGCTTTTATCTTTTGAATTTGCTTAATGAAGTTCGAACCCTAAAAAGTGAAATGCTCTCTTAACAGGAGTGAGTCCTAGAGCATTAGCATTTACCTTACAGAAAATTGAGAAATAAATAAAAAGCATTTAACTTATGTAGCACCATAAACTTTCCAGATTTCATTAGTCATAAGAAAGAAGATTGGGACTATTAGTACTTTTTGCAAGAAAATTCACCAAAGAAGTTCAAAACCAAATAATTGTGTCTGCCTTAAGTTGTCCATTCTGCCATGGTTTCAATTGAAGTTATTGACTCAATTTGGGTTCAATCACAACTTTTTAAATGCCTTTATTGAAAATGACTACTCGCTACAAGGTTTTTTGTTTTGAAATATCCGTAGAAATATCATTAAAATGACTTCAGAAAACATACCAAAAAGCATAAAAAGGTCGAATGATCAGAACCGCATATTTGACATGAACCAACCATCTCCCCCCCCCCCCCAAAAAAAAAAAAAAAAAAAACAAAAAAAAAAAAAAAAAAAGGGGGCATATGCACACTATTTGATGTGAAGCAAAAAAAAAAAAAAAAAAAAGGGGGCATATGCACACTATTGATGTGAAGTGTGCAAGAGAGAGAGAGAGGTCTCATATGCATGTACTTTATCATATAATAAGAGTACATGTCAATCAGTAATCAATGATTGATTTAAAATAAATCTCGAGAGAAATCCAAAAATGGCTGACTTTGACAAAATATTATATAACATAAATCTATTAACTTGACATGTTCCACTTAATGCACAAAGTCATGCAGTCAACAACATTAAAGCAGAGGGTTCCATTCTCGACACACATAAGAGTCTCATGTATGCCCATGGCAAGGAGCAAGTTTGTTTTCTTAGGATATAGAGAAAACACACAATAGTTATTTGTTTAACACATAGCAAAAACCTATTGATGAAATTATTAGGACAGTATGACAGCATTGAATGCAAAGCCAGTAACTTTGAGAACTTCTTGGACCATCACACAATTGTTTAATGCTTCCATATGCAAAAACAGCATCATGATGATGATGATGACGACGATAATATTTTTTATTGTAGATTGGATGCTATAATGCATTATGGCATTTAGAACCAATTACAGTCACCTGGAAATGGAATTTCATCACTCAGCTTTGCATAATTTTTGAACTTCATGCTCTCTTTCCATGGCAGAACCATTACTTGCAACGAGCTCATAATAAATTTGAAATAAAGATGTGACTTTAACTCGATAAATTCCAAACATGCCACATGAAAGTGCAGTGAAGCTTTCATGCTATAAAAAAGGACAAGAAAAGTTTGACAGTCCATCAGAGTATGCAACAAAATGAATGCATTTCTGGATAATTCATTATACTACCTGAGGTATATTCCAGAACCAGATCCAAGCAGTCGATGCCAGCAGCAACAGTTGAAGACACACTGCCACCATCTGCACTCCCTGTATTTATTTTGCAGATTGTTCTACAGCCTTTATGCACTCCCATCAATTCTTTCTTAATGGCCTCTAACAACATGTGAAACTCTGACGACTTGCTTATTAAAACTTTGAATGACATCCTCAACCTAGATTTGAATGAGTTCAAGAAGAGTGACATGCGTGAAAAAGATGTTTCAGATGATCCTTTATTACTGCAGAGTTTCTTAGTACTTGACTCTGTCTCGTGAGAAGCCAGAGTAGCTTCTTTTCCTTGTAGACTAATGCATTTTCCTAGAGCATTTAAGTACAACTCTACCAACCTGCCATACATATTCTCATCCAAGGTATGATTACCGGGAAAATTTCCTAATTCTTCCAAATACTTAATAACACCATCTAAGCAAATAAAAGAGAATGGTTGTGGCACCTCTGACACATCTGCAAACTTCAATAGCAAGATTTTAGATAAGCCAAAACAATTTGCAATCAAGCTGGACAAAGAGGAACTATCATTGCTCTGCAAATTTAGCTTCAAGAGAGCTGAAGAAGCCATCAACAATTGTCTGATCAAGATTGCAGCTTCAGGATTGTCACCTTTTAGCAAGCCTTGAAACAAACCATTTTTTCGACAATGGCATGTAATACTGCCAACTGAAGTTGATTCTTCCAACTGTGAACTATTCCTATGAATACTCCAAAAGTTATCATCTGTATTTAATGATGTTGAGCAGTTTTCTGCAGCTCTTAACTTCTGATCCTGTGCACCACCTAGAGTAACAGTGTGACAAGACCCTTTATCTGAAATCTGCCTTGAAACTGACAAACAGCTGCAATCAGATGGGCTTAGAAAATTTTGATCATCAAATGAACATCTAGGTTGATGACCAACCTCCACAAATAACATGTGCGAGACAAAATTTAAAAAATCTGCAAACACGTTGATGCACAGACCAATGTTGGGCTCAAAATTCAATCCCAATTTCACCTTATCATTATCTGTTGCATTTGAATGGTTCAAGCCATATGATAGACCCCACAAGAAGCCACTCATACAAGAAGCTATAGAGGATAATTTGTTCAAATTAACATTGACATCATTTTCTGCTTTCTCATTGATAAGGCTACCCTTCAAAGAAATAAGTAAGCCCTGCATATTTTGCGTCAAACTCTGAGCCATGAGAAGAATACTTTTCCATGCTTCATTATTTTCTAAGGAACCCAAACAAGGATCAGATTCATTCAAAGCATCATATTCCTGTGCAATATTAGTGTTGGGTTGCACTTCATGAGGTTCTTTACCAAATGCAGAGTGAAGTGCAAAAGTAAAATGATACTCACTCAATTTCAGGAAAATATAGGAAGTGTGATCCAAAAATGAAAACATCATCTCTCTAATTTCATCAGCATCATCTTCTGACAGTGTCTCTTGAAGCCCAACCACCAAGAACACCGATTTGAAAAGCCATAACATAGGAAATGAACCTTCAGACAGCACTGGAATGACTGATGATGCAGTAATTCTTGTCTTCTCCTCAGAAAATACCATAGTTAAATATTTCAAGGCCCTCCGGCAGGAGAAAAGCAACTTTAAGAGTTCATATTGCTTACATGAGGATGATGCATCTTGAAATTCTAATAAGCTGCTAATTACATTCCTGAATGTAGATACCTCAAATTAATAAAATCACAGCACATATTGTGTATCAATAAGTATATTAAACAACAGCAAGCTTAAAATCAAATCAAATCACAACAGATTATCTAAATATGTATCTCACAATGCAATGCATACTGGCTGATTTTAGTTCTAATATTACAGGATACTACATGTTTCATGTGAACTATGTGCAGAGACCCACATAAACAATGTGCATGTGCTTGCTTGAAATTAAAATTAAAAAGAAAATAGAAGACTTGCAACAAGACAGAATAAGCAACAGGCAGATATAAGTTTACCGTTCAAGATTGAGCAGAAAAGTGACATAACGTGCGAATGATCTTGAATTCATATATCCTTTTGGCATCCAACACAAAAAACTAAGCAAACTCTGACAAGATGTAAATTTCTTGTCCTTTAACTCTGTGGAAAAATCTGCAGGTGTCTTATGCAATGAATGAGAAATTGGTCTTCCCTCTGAAAGCTTATGAAAAGTAACAGTTTTGCTTCCTGGAACAGCCACTGGTAAGCTTCCAACTGCACTTAAAACCTCTTGCCAATGAGGTGATGAATTTAAGTCAACATCCTCGATTGAAAAATCACTAAATAATGGTAGGACTGATTTCTTCAAAAGATGGCAAAAACTTGAAGCCAAGTGCCTGCAGACAAACTGGTAAAAGAGGCAGCATTAACATTATGTGCATACAACAATTTCCATAGGAAATTTTATACACAACAAATGGGCTTCAAGCAATAATAGTCTGTGCTACAGTAAAAATCTGCATGCTGTGTTGCACTTACTGCATATATGTGTGAGCTGGAATGCATGAGAAATAGAGATGGAGAAAACGAAGATTGCAATAATAATTGACCTTACTTTATGTTCATACAGTATGGGATTATTCAGAAGTTCTGATGAGATATGATGCATAGTAATTTTTCTCAGAAAACCAGCTTCGTCAGCCTGGCTGTTTTCCCCATCCGTGAAGCTTCTTGTGATAGAGGGTAGACAAGTGCAGATGACATGGGAGAGGAATATCTTTAACATTTTCTTACTAGCATGAATAGACCAAATATCAATATTTTGACAAACAATCCACCAGATTGCAGTAAGCAACGACTTGTTGTTCACAGAACAGATACTGAAATCCCATTTTTCACTTTCATCAAAAGCTTGGCCGTAGGTAGCAAGACCAGTTTCATCAGCAGTAGTACAGTCTGAAACTCGATCACTACCCAATAATGAGAGGTAACTCAAGATGAACTGAGTAAGGCTCTCTCCCTCCTCCCTTATATTAGAAAGGCATCTTCCCCACTTTCTGCTCCTTTTACAATACTCCGACAAGCTAGTATCACCAAGCAACTTGACCTGTATTTGCAGTATATACTCCAAAGATTTTATCTGCCTGTTCAAATCTACAAGCCTCTGAAGAGCCATAGCATGCAATACATAAATCAGAGAAGAGCAATCTGCATTGCTGCCCTGAAGACAAATGTCAGAGACAGATTGAATGATGACACAAAGAGAAGCTGAAGGTCGGACAATCCATGAAAAATAACCCTCAGTTTTCCACTCAGTCCTTTCTATTGAATCTCTTCCAGAGTATGCTGTAAATGAATCCCGCATTACTTCTGACATCTTTTTTGATGTATCTGGAGGCATGAGGGTGATTGCTTGCCTATATAAGCTTCGGCAGGATATGTATAAGCGAAAAAAGAACACGAAGACCCAGTGAGTGGAAACACCAAAATTCAGCATATCAAGTTTGTTGCCATCAGGTCCCTTATCAGTAGTTTTTCCTGTGATGTAAGAGAGGAAATCGTAGGCACTATCTGGCTGTTGTCCAGCCAGAATACTCATGCAGGGACGAATTACAGTTATTAGATCCTCTATAGATCGTCCGAGGAGGCTACTGTTCCCAACTGTTACAGTCAATGACTCCATAACCATTGCATACATTTCAGACAATCCTCGTCCAAAAAGTTCGGCTTGAAGATCAAAATAGAGCATCTTAGAACTCCCTTCTTGTGATTCCAGAAGTTCCATTCCGTCAGCAGCTGAACAGCTTTTTATCCATTCCATGGACTCCATTAAGTCTATGCTTAATAGCCTAATACATTCACCAGCCTGTCCTTCTGGTATGGACTTAATACCATTGTGAATGGTTAGTTTAAACTCTTGTGCGCATAGCAGCATTCCCACTGATTTTGCATATGTTTCATAAGGTAAACAGGATATGCAGGACCTGAACCAACCGTAAATCTGCCTATCCCCACTATTGTTCTCACGTGTGATAATAAGTCTAATGGCTTTACAGAGTGCAAATATGGCACTTTCCACCTAAAACAATTCAAAATATAAGAACAGAAATATGAAAACCATCTAATGCAAAATGAGGAATCCAACTAAAATAATTTTGGCAGAAAAGAAAAAAAAAATATGAAAATGAATGTAAATATAACAGAATCAGCAAAACCAAACTGATAGATGACATGAGGAAGATATATGATCACCTACCTTACCCCCACCACTTTATTCCAACACGACAATAAAAAAAGGAAGAGAAAAATAACAAATAATAGTTACAAGACAAAAAGTTCTGAAGCTGTAAAGAAGTAATCCATTTGATGCTGAGTGTATGGAGTTGTACAGTAGAAAAAAAAAGTAACAAGACATGCTATCAGGTTGGAAGAAGTTCAACTAACCTGCCGAAGTTCACTATAAAGCTTAACCAGCTGACTTGCAAATCCTAGTATTTGGGCAGTTAATGAGCAATGATCTGACACATCCTTAAAATAATAACCAAGTGCCAAGTAAGAAAGTGCCATAAGCCATAAGCTGGTTAAATCATTCTCAATAACTTCATATTCAATATCCAGAAAATTTTGGGCAGTAACAAAGAACTGTTTTGCTACTAAAATTAATATCTCTTGTGTCTGGTTATCTGAATCACTTGCTGACAAACAAAGTGATTTGGTGGAAAATGAGAGAACAGTATTATAAACCTTCTTCAAGAAATTACGGAAAGCTCTTCCAGAGATATCCGCGGTTTTTAGGTATAATTTTTCTTGAAAAAGGCTGCCTAGTAAATGATTAATTGATTTGAGTGTACAGTGGGCATCCAACAAGAGAGGGCCTACTTCTAATTTAGTTTCAAGGTAGCCATTAATCTCAACTAAAAGAGGCTCCATAATCTGTACAAAAAAATCTAAAAGTGATTCTCTTTTTTCGTCAGTCAAATTACTAGAGTTATAACTAATTTCTGTAGGTACACTACTAATATGATGTACCACTTTAGAACTATGAGCAGCTAAATGCTTAGATCTTTCAATTTCCTCTGACAGCTTGGTCTCTTCAGACAACATTGAAGCTGCTTTGTTATTTTTCACCCGATCAACAAACAAATGAAATAGTTCTCCTAAGCCATTCAACTCAGACTCCTTCTTTGAGGCAATAATCCATTCCAGTTTATCAAACAAATGCCTATGGTAACTTTTAATGACTGTTTTAGTGGGTTTCATTTTCCCATCATTTGATGAAGAATATTTTCTTGCACTGTGTAAGCTCAAAAATCCATCAATATGGATTGAATGAAACAGTCCTTGTGATAAAACTTCTTCAACTATAGTCAACAATTTTCTTGTACAACCAGCATTGCTTCCATCAAACTGACCATGCAGCATACCCAGTAAATACAATAGAAACCCAAGAAGTTCATCCACAAACTCATGAAAACCATTTTTTCGAGGCGGGTGGACCCTTAAAAATCTGGCAAATGGCTCAAGCACCAAGCAAGAAAACCTGAGTGCAAAAGCACCTGCATTACCACCGACAAGATTCTCAAAAAAAATTTTATGCACCAGCTCAAGAACTGCACGGACAGTAGAAATCCACAAGTCCAAATTTTCATTTGACAAGCCACCATGAGATGAGAATACCATAGAAACACAATCCAAGACAAGACTGTACAATTCAAACTCTTCACCAATAAAAACCAAATCTTTAGAACCGAAACGCATTTCTGTGATTAAAGACAATGCATTTCTTGAAACACAAGAAAAAGCTCGCAAAAGATTCCGCGAGAAAGTCAAAGAAACTTGCAACCTCACAGATTCTTCCAAACAGTACTTGAAAATCAGCCAACATCTATAATCTAAACATGTCTCAATAACACCAGACTCAGCTACAACTTTCTTATCAGTAGAAATCAACAGTGACTGAACCCAGTCGTTCAGAAAAACGACAAGTCGAGAGACTTGCACTGTTTCATAATCTTCCTCACCTTCTCCTTCCCTCGTGTTCACATAATTGAAAGCTAATTCAATCTTCCTGTCAAAGTATCAATCTTTTTATATATTAGAATAATTCAAAACAAAATAAGTAAATAAATAAAGAGAAAGAGACTAACTTTTGGAGGTCAATTTCTTTACTCTGGAGCGACAGAATCAATTGTAGATTTTTCCATGAACGCCCTACTTCGACTATACGATCCAATTCTGACTGTTTTGAGCTTTCACTCACTCCTAATACTTCCTTCTCTTTCTCTGGCTTACCAATATGGTACTTTTTTGGAGGTCTTGGTTTATCTTCGGGACTGGTTAGCTTCCTCTTCTTCTTCTTGTTGCTTGATGATTTTCCTGATGAAGTAGCCATTATTGAGTCCATTGGTTTTATGTTTCAATGACAAATTTGATCTTTTGATTACTCTGCTTCATGGAAAATTTGCAGGAAGGGTTTTGGCCTTTGGTGCTAGGGTTTTTGATTGCTACCAAAACGGACCCCAAAACATGCGTTTTCACTTTTTTTTTTTTTTTTCTTTTTTGAAAATAATTATATCGTCCCGAAATTTTATAAAATTAATTAACTCATATCGTATTTTTTATATATTAAATATTTAGTTTCTGAAATTTGGTGAAGTAGCACTTCCGTCCTAAATTTTTTAAAATCACAAATGGTACCCCTAAACTTCATTTTTTCTTACTCATCTCCCTCTTCTCCATATATTCCTCCTCCCATCGCCAAAACTTAGCCCCAGTGTACTTCGTTGACGATGAAAGATAAAAGTGTGCAACCAGTTTCCTATAATTCCATCACTGAAAGAAACGGAAAAGAGTTGTTTCTTTAGGAGCGGTATTTCCGATCTATTAGAGAGAGGTGAGTTCAACTTTGCAAAATAAATCCAAAAGCCGTGCAGCTAAATTTATAAAATAGCTAAACTAAAGAAATAAATAACTGAAAAATTTTGTAAAACAAAGAGCTAAAAATTATTCGAAATATTTCGTTGGAACACTTTACAATTGTTGGCAAAAACCATAACATCCTTTATACATGAAACAGTGAAAAAAAAAAAAATAGAAAACGCAGTCAATAATCTCTCAACCACACCTTCTGAATCTCCAGGCTGATATCGAAAAAAGGAGCCTATCCTTCCAGCAAATAAACAAATATTTGTTCTCTCCTTTGATTTTGTACCCACAACTCATTTTTTTTTTTTTTTTTGACATTGTACCCACAACTCAATTATGATGCTATTGTTTCGAAAGAGAATGCATAGAAAAAATGAGTGCAAGGGAATCAAATCTTAAAGAAGAGATCCAATATTAAGATCTAATAATAAGAGAACTAAATTGCAGAATAATAAAAAAGAATGAAGACTAGTGGCTCAATCAATAGAACCGAACACCACCACCATCACCGATTGTTACTATTATTTTTCTGTTGCCGAAGTAGACCTGATATTGGAGAAGCGGAGATGAAGGAGAAGGAGAGGGATAGTCTGATTTAATTTAAAGGGTATTTTAGGCTTTCACTGTGAATTTAACGCGAAAAACACTAAAATCAGATGAAATTACTATTCAATGTATAAAAATATAAAAATGACTTAATTAATTTTTTATAACTTGACAAAATAATTACTTTTCTTTTTTTTTAATTAATATGTTAAATTGATATGTTGTCCAACTTGGTTAGTTTAACTTTATAACATTCTTATTAAACATTTCAGCTTATAAAATTACATTATTTATTGAAAATTTCAACTGCAAAATTATTTTATTAAAAATTTCAATTTTTAGAATTATATCAATCCAACGCCTGTTAAATAGTTGAAAAATGTAAAACTTATTGTTTAAAAAAGTTATACTAACTACACGTTAAATCAAAATTTTACACATAAAAACCAAAAATCCTAAAAACTATTGCTATTTTGTATAAAAATATATGCAATATTATCAAATTTACAAGTTTAAGTGTATGATTAAGAATACTAATTTTACCCGACCTGGCGGGTATTCGCTCTAATTTTGGTGGGTTCAGATAGTAAATGAAAGTATTTGGGGCAGGATCGGGTAGTATAATTATTCTCCATGTCGGGTTATGATTCATGAACTTGTGTACCCGCTATCTCACATCCATTTAAATAATATTCCAAAAATATTCAAAAACTTTATTTTTTAAAAAATTATATATATATACATTTTTTTCAATTATAAAATTATATTATATTTTTTTTTATTAAGTCAAAGTAATAATTTTATAATTTTTACTTACTTTTATTTTTGAAAATAAAAATTAAAAAAAAAACATTTTTAATGCTAAACGGGTATTTAAATAGATTTAGGTATTTGATTAGGGAACTATAATCGGGTTTGGATATTAAAGGACGATACATTTTAAGCGGATACCCGAACTCTCGTCATCCTTTGCAAAATTATTTTTGAGGTCCCTAAGTTTTTATAAAATTCATTAGTTTATCCTTAGTGTTTAGAATTAAGTAGCTATCACAACAACTCTTAGCTATTACAAGAGCAAACAAATCAATACCAAACAGGCCTAAAGGCAGTCTAGAGAAATCACCCATGTTTGAATAATCTATATTTTGTATTTGAACAGAAGAAAAGTTCAATTTTGATTCATAAGATAGACTATCATTATCGATGCTAGGGAGATTCTCAGAAGAGGAAATACTTTCTTTTATCAATTAAGTTTTGATTGGTTTGCTAAAAAACCCCACCCCAGACAGAAATTGAAGAAAAAAAAGTTCTGAACAAATAGCGAAACCAAAAAAATTCCAGAACAAACTTTCAAAGAATACATGCTTTATAACTTATCTCTACAAAGATATCCAAGAGACTAGGTAACCCGCAATTATCCAAGAATTTCTACTACAAAAATTGAATGACAAGCATAAGGTAAGCTTTTGGTTGATCCAATACAAAATTCAGAACCAAAATCAACATATAAGCTGAAATAAACATGCATAAAACCATAGGTAAATAATCAAAGGTCAAAACCCATTAAACTGTATGAGATTACAAAATGGTTACCGACATTCCTGTATTGCATCGTCATAATTTTATGACGAATTTCATACTGTCTTGTCACAATATAATGAGTATAAATCAAAATGAGTTGTGTTAATCTCCTTGAGTTGCTGGTTTTAGCAGGCTAAAAACAGTAACAGCTATCATCTTTTGCAATTGGGGTTTCCTCTTCTACAACAAGAGGTTGGGGCCCGAAAAAGCTTATCAATCAACTAGACAGAGGTGGTGGTGATGAGTTTTGCACTTGTACAACAGATGGTGCCTCCTGTTCTGGTTCAACAGGGACACATGGTCTCCAAACTGTTTCCTTGCCCACATCCATGAGTGCAATTCCTTTTGCCGTCAATTCAGCCCTGATCTGATCACTTCTTGAAAAATCCTTGTTTTTCCTTGCCGCTGTTCTTTCCTCAATAAGAGCCACCACTTCTTGCTCCGTTAGTTCAGCCCTCTTCAATGCCTTTTCTTTTAATTGCTTCAAAACCTGTCCAGTGGAAAATGATTTCTTATTGGTATATTCCAAATTTCCAACCAAGAAAAATAAAATCATTAGGTTAAAATAATCTTTAAAAAATTTGTAAACCTTACCTCAGCGTAAGAGCAAGGAGGAAGCAGTCCGACAATGTCCAGGACTAACTTAACTTCTTTCTCTATTTCAGTAAGGGATTGAACCAATGACAACTGTTTTTGCTTTTGTTGTTTCTTCTGCAAAAGTCGAGAATGCAGGAAATGTCATTTCTCACACAAACATGGGCAGATGCACACAGAAAAAGCATAGTGAAATACACAAGGGATCTAAAAATGGGCTAGAATGTAACTTAAACCTTTAGCATGCTCAAAGAACTGTTTATGAACTTCAGTGCATCTTGGAAAGCACCAGTCAACAAATGAGACGTGCTTAAATCATCTGACATTTTAGTCTCAAACTCATCATGTAGTTTGCTGATGCATATTTTGGCATCAGCAGTAACTCCAACCACCTTGCCATTCTGCCCTGCACCCTCTTTCAGGCTTCCATCTTCAAACAATGACAAGGCCTCCTCACAATCTTGCAACGTCTACAATCATAATTGGGTTAATAATTTCCTAGAGATATGAATTTAAATGTTGTTGAAGTATGGGTACGTGAGTTTGTATGGAGTGGATAAGTTTAGGTGCCTGCATGTTCAACATGCATTTGTATCTATATCAGTAGAACTAAAGCATGGTAACATAGAATATTGTGAATGTAGCATATCAAGTGAGCAAGACCAAGCAAAATACCGACTTCATAATATGCCAATGGTTATGCATCCAGTCCTTCTTGATCACATTTTAATAGTAGAATATCACTGTTGCACTCCAAATTTATAAAACAAATAAGAGCAGGAAAGAACCATTTTCTCTATAAGATGGCCCAGGAGCCAAAGGTTCAAAGTAACTTAAATCTACTTGGTATTTTGCAGAAACTGCTATCAAAAAAAGTACTACCTTGAAAATGTTGATCAAAAGCCATTTTGTTTTGAAGAAAAATTTGCAATATTTTGGTTACAAAAACTCCAAAACAGGTAAAAATTTAGCTTTAACTGCTCTCAACATCTAGAGCAAAACTTTTCAAAGATCAAATTTAAACTTAAATGTCAAATAGGCTCTAACAAATGACATTTGCTATCCAAGTAGGCAACACATCCAACCAACAACAGGAACCTTATCTGTTCAGGCTCAGGTTCAGCTCAAGGAGATGACCACTGTAAGTCGAATAAATTCCAGGAGGAAAACTAAGCTTACAATTCCAAATCTGATGTAGCTATGTAATCCTATTTAGATACGAATTTAAACATATCCCATTTAAATACACATGCGCACATATCTTTAAGGCAATTACAAGTTAACAAAACTTAAGAGAGGGTGCTCTCATTGATTGGCTTAAAGCAGTAACAAATTTTCAACTGCAAACTTCAAAGAACAAGAAAAGGCTTTAAACCTGACAAATGTAAAAGATGGCGTCAGATGCATTTTCCAGCTGCAGAACAGTATAATTGAGGGGAGAGCGATAATGTGCACTCATCAAAAAATGTCTCAAAGCCAGTGGATGGTATCGGTCAGTAACCTGCAAGAATTCGACAAGTTAGTTTCAGGGCATGTATTTGCAGGGACTAAAATCAGACAATTAAAATTTCTGAAAAAAAAAAAAAAAACAAGAAAATCAATAAAATGAAGAATGAAAAATGAATAACAAGAAGAAGAATAATTGGATTGCAAATTTACCTGACGTATTGTGAAAAAGTTACCCAAGGACTTTGACATTTTCTCATTGTTATTAGTTACATGCCCATTATGCATCCAATGACTCACTTTGAACTCTTGGCATGCGGCAGCACTCTGCGTAAGCTCATTTTCATGATGAGGAAAAGCTAAATCACTTCCACCGCCATGGATGTCAAACTTAAAGGTCAAATAGTGAGCACTCATTGCACTGCACTCTATGTGCCATCCTGGTCTGCCAGGACCCCATGGACTCTCCCAACTAGGCTCACCAGGCTTTGCAGCCTACAACAATTAGGGAATATCTCATAAAGTATCATGTCCACGGGACTATAATTTTGGATGAAGTAACTCCGTGACGGTTTTACCTTCCATAATGCAAAATCAGCAGGATTACGTTTTCTTTCGTCAACAGCAACACGTTCACCAGCTCTAGTATTTTCAAGTTTCTGCCCAGACAGTTGACCATAATTCGGGAACGTCTCAACGGCAAAGAAAACATCTCCTTCAACAACATATGCAAAGCCATTATTTATGATCTGCAGAAAGCATTGCATTTGTTTTAACTTCAAAGGAAACAAAACTGCCCAACAAAAAACTAGAAAATGAGTACAATTAAAGAAAAAAATATGAAAGAGGTTTTTTCTTTTCTTATTTCAGTAGTATAATGGGGGGCGGGGGATAGTGCAGCTAAGTAGAAGATCAGCAATATCAATAAAGTAAAAGTTTCTTTCTACTTCATTACCCTCTTCCAAGAAAACCAAACTTTAGTGCATTATATAAGATGGAATTTGAAACAAAAAGAACTAAATGTTCAAGCTTGTACCAATCATAAAATACACTAATCATCGCCAAACAAATTACATTTTATTATGTAATAGCTACCAAACTAGAAAATTTAAATGTGGTCTCTCTATACAGAACTGAATTAGTTCTACAGATTCTCATACCCACTATATTGCAAGGGACCAAGTACGCCACTATATAACACCATCCCCAAGCTGCTCACCTCCACTTAGCAGTACGTTTGTTTATCATAAATTACTATTACGGATCGGACAGAGTATAAAAAAGATGGCTTTCAGAAAAACTTAAAATAGTTCAAAATATATATAAGGTTTATATCTTTTTTAACCATGTTAATTGACATGAAAATACATCAGAATTTCTTCTGCTGAGACTCTATACTCAAAATGCAGGAAAAAAAAAAAAAGAAAAGAAAAAAGACCTGTGTGATCATGTCCTTAATCTGTTCCATATGATCAGTCACACGAGGCTGATGTGTAGGCCGGAGGCACTGCAGACTGTCCATGTCAACAAGATATTCATCGCAAAATCTGCTGCTTAAAGATAATGGATCCTCACCAAGATCATTGGCTCGACAAATTATCTGCAAAAAAAATTGCAAAAATCATGTTGAGAAATTCATTGTTGAATCATCCTCCAAAGGGTGTGCCTGCATGTGCATGTGCGTGTGTGCCTGTGAGAGAGAGAGAGAGAGAGAGAGAGAGAGAGAGAGACAGGGATAGAGAGAAGGCTAACTTGAGGTATTGCCATTAAATTTAGCAGCCAATTGTAATATCTTTGAAGATCATGTCAACTTTATTGAAGTCAAAAAGACCACAGACTCAAATGGAGACTAATTCACGTTCACTTTTTTTCTAAGCATAGTGGTCAAAATCGCAAGTCAACTCACAATTTTACGATTTAACGAGTCAAAATCATGAAAACAAGTTAGCAGGTACATAAAATCGAATCTTAATTAAAATCGTATAAAGTTGCTTGCAAAGGTTAAAATCGTTCAACGATTTTACGATTTTACTATACTTTTTATTTTTAATAATATGTTTGTTTTATATTATTTTCTTTGTTTAAAATATTATTTTTTAAAATATGTAAATCTTACGATTTTACGATCTTATAATTCTTTTTTATCCTTCCCTCTAGCATTCTAGGTTAAAAAAGCAATTTTAATTTTCTTGTTTCTAAACCATGTCTAGAGAAACCTTACACATTCCAACTACTGATGCTTCATTTGGTCAGCCATAGTGGAATATTATATGATGTTATCAAATGCATTTCTAGTGTAAACATAACAATATGATGTAATTTCATTATATTATATTCCATTACATCTCAACAAACAAAACCTAAGTACTTTATGTGTGCAATTGATAAGTCTTAACTTGTGCAAAGCCAGAAGTTAAATGGAAAATGACCATTTCTATAAACTAAGGTATTTCAAAAATATTCACCTCATTATCAATACAACATCTATATCAGATTTAACAAACTGATTTCAGCTAATAAAATAAAGGAAAAGAGTAAAGAAATTATTTTAATGGATACAATTTAGAATCACAGAGTCACAGCATGCTAATCAAATTCTCACCTTATCATCAATATCAGTAAAATTTCGAACATAAGTAACTTCATAACCCAAGTGCTGTAGATATCTGCAGAATTTCATTCATGTGAAACAATGGCATCAAGGACACTATATAAGCGCACATTCAACATCTGATTGTAAATCATTTATGATGGAAATAATTGATTAATTTCATTTTCATGTTTGTTCTAAACCATACCCTTTTATAACTGTAAGTCAAATTGTAGAGGAAAATTAATTTAAGCAAAACAAGTTTCTTTCTCACTATACTAACAACATTGTCCTGAATCATCAATACAATTCCATTAACAACAATATCAGATTATTAGCTAGTAAACCTTCATAATCAAAATATATAAGTACATAATCAATTCACTCAAAAAAATATACATTAATTTGAATCCGCATAACAATGGATACACACATAATTGAACGGTGTATGCTTTTGTTATGTACCTGAAAAGGATATCGAAGACAACAGCTGCGCGTGCATGACCAATATGGCTAAAATCATAGGCAGTGACACCACAGACGTACATTCCAACCTTGCCGGGGATTAAAGGCTTAAATTCCTCCAAATTTTTAGTCAATGTGTTGTATACTTTGAAATCGACCTTCTTCTCCATTTCAATCAATGAACCTATCTATTGTAGTCTATTTATATATCTATATCTATTACCCGAACCAGTCCGAACTCAATTAGAGTTACCAGAGCACCACCCAAATCCGATTAACTACCCGTTAATTAAACAAAAACAAATATACCCTGCAAGAATCAAACAATTCAACAGGTAAATCATCCTTCTTAGTTCAATCAATAATGAATGAGAGATGCTTTTAACAGGTTAAAAACAAATAGGACGAGAACTGCAGGCCAAGCACATATTTTGCAGGTTTCTAAAACCATCCAAAAGTGGTTTTATTATTCTTCTTCACAAACATTTTGGAAAACAAGCACTGGAAATTCGCAGTGAAAATAATTCGGAAGTAATAAATTACTTTTATACATGGATGGCCCTATTCTTATAATTTGCATATAAATCTATATTGAAATAAATAAAGAAGCAGCTCTGAAAGCCAATGATAACCAGGAATGGAAGGAAATGACCGCAACAACAACATATTTGATAGAATAATCTAAATTTATCCCCATTGAAAAGTAACTAATCAACATAAATGGCAAAGAGGACTTATAGAAGCCAGAAACAAAAATTTACAAGCAATCAGATTTAAATTCTAACGTAACACACACTACATAATCGAAAAAAAATGTCGAAGTAAGATATAATGAGTTAACACATAAAAAAAAAAAAAATCAAACCTTTTTCTATCGAAATTGAGATTGAAAAAAATGTAGTTTCTTTGATTTTGCAGCTATTTGTATATAATCTGGAGAGAGTGATGGGCTACTGTTGATAGTAGTTAAAGAAAAAATATGTAATATACAATTTATTTTCATATCAAGACTAAATCAAAAGAAAATAAAAAATTGAGAGAACAGAGATAGCGGATAGGGTTTCAGAGTTCTGCTCGATGAGTAGGTATTTCAGATAGAACAGGGATGGCAGCTAGGGTTTCAGACAGAAGCGAAAGAGACGAAGAAGAAGAAGAGACGGTTGAGGAGGGCCAAGTGAATTTACACTTTTTTTTTAATGAAAATAAAGCAAAAATAAAAATGAGTAAAAAAAAGGAAATTAAATCAAATTTTTAATTAAAAAATACAGTAAAATCTATATATATATATAAACAGAGCAGTTTGCATTATATAGAAGTCAAGTATAAGTCAAATATGAAGAGAATAATTATTTAGCTTAGTTGTAGGAAGATAAGGTGTAATAATAGCGATCGTAATAATATAAGGTTTTATATTTTTAAATAATGTCTTTATCATGATAATATCTATTAGTTATATTTCATCAAAATAATGCATTAAATTAAATTAAAACACAAATAATCTAAGCCATAAAATATGAAATACTTAGTTTTTTATTTTAATAATTATCTTAGTGTATGGAATAGTCTTATATATCAAGAGTTAAGCTGCATGGATACGAAATACGAGATACGAAACTTATAGGATATATGATAATAAATAATAAATTCTTAATTTTATATTTTCATATAATTAGTTTAAATTAAAATACATATAACCCAAATTATAAAATAAAAAATATTAATGTCTTATTTTAATAATTGCCTTGATGTATGGGATAGTCTTATATACTAGAAGCTAAGTAACACAGACACGGGAGACGAGATACAAAAACGTACGAGATATGATAATAAATAAATTATCATTTATAATAAACAATAAACATAAAATAAAAAATACTTAATTTTTTATTTCATATAATTAGTTAAATTCTCAAAATTATTATCACTATTTTGAAAAATCTATATTTATTTATATAATATGTAAAAAGGACACAAAATACGAGAACGTATAAAATACGATAATAAATAAACAATCATTTATAATAATTAATAAATATAAATAAAAATATTTAATTTCTTATTTCAATAGTCATGTTATAGATGAAAGAAAGGCAATAAACAGGTAAGATAAAAAAATACTTAAGTTTGGTTTTATTTCCGATATAATTAAGTGTTGTAAGATTTCAAAAAGTTATTATCAGGCTATTTTGGAAAAATCTATATTTTTTATATAATATGTAAAAGGAACAGCAGAGAATAAACGAGAACGTATAAATACGGATAATAAAAGTACGAATCATCTTATAATAATGATAAATATAAATAAAAAGTATTTAATTTCTAGTTTCAGATATAATTAGTTAAATTTAATAAATAAACAATCATTTATAATAATTAATAAATATAAATAAAAATATTTAATTTCTTATTTCAATATAATTAGTTAAATTCTCAAAATTATTATCACTATTTTGAAAAATCTATATCTATATAATATATAAAAGCAGAATAGTTTATTTTACATGGAAACCAAGTGTAACTAGTACAATTTGCCACTTGACATTATTTTAGATTATAAAATGACGGAGGTTAGAAATCACAAATTTAACACAATTGCAACGATTGTAAAAATATCAATTGTTTAAAAAAATAATCAATACAATACTATCAAATAAACAATATCTAAACAATTTAAAAAATATAAACTGGAACGTACGGGATAAGCCAATTTTTAAAAAAGTAGGACATCGTCACACTATACGAAATAGGTAGTACATTAATATTTCAAATAAATAAGCAATAAGTTATAAATATTAAATAAAAATAGTAATTTCTTATTTCAATGACGCAAAAAAATATTTAAAATACTTCATTTTTTATTGGTAATGAAAAAACTTGGTTAATTAGCTTGATGTATATAGTAGTCTTATATACAAAGAGCTGAGTTGCACATAAACGAGACACGAGATATAAAACGTATGAAACACGATAATTTTTAAAATACACTACACTAAATATAAATAATACATTAATATTTCAAACAAATAAATAATCATTTATAATAAATAAAAAATAAAAAATACTAAATTTCTTATTTCAATGACACAAAAGCAAATAAAAAAAATACTTCATTTTTATTGGTAATAAAAAAATCTTAGTTGATTAGCTTGATGTATGGAGTAGTCTCATATTCCAATAATTAGGTTGCACAAATACATGACACGAGATATGATAATTTTTAAAAAATGTAGGACATCCACACGCTTAAGACACAGCACACTAAAAAGTAATACATTAATATTTCAAATAAATAAACAATCATTTATAATAAATTATAAACGCAAAATAAAAAAATTAATTTCTTATTTTAATGACATAAAAAACAAATTAAAAAAACACTTCATTTTTTATTGGTAATAAACAAACATTTGTTGATTAGCTTGGTGTATATAGTAGTCTCATATACCAAGAGCTAGGTTGCACGAACATCAGACACGAAATACGAAAACGTACGGATACGACAAATTTTAAAAAATGGACATTCATACAATTAGAACACACTAGTCTAAATAAGTAATACATTAATATTTCAAATAAATAAATAATTATTTATAATAAATCATAAAATTAAAATTAAAAAATACTTAATTTATTATTTCAATATAATTATTTAAATTCTCAAAATTATTACCACTATTGAAAAATATATTAATAATGTGTATGCATCTTTTTATGTAGGTCATACCATACACGGCTTTTACTATTGCATATCTTATGAAAAGTTTCGCATGATACTTAAAAAGACATATCTTAGCATCGCAATTTTTCAGCATATCTCAATGAAATACAATTTATCATTTTATTTTATAATTTTACTATTTTTTAATATTGTTATAAAATATTATTTCATCTTTTAATATTATCTTGCGCATCGTACAGAATATAAGGGAAAAAGGCAATTATATTTTCAAATAATATCATATATGAGGAAAAAAACTAAATTAATATTAATAAGTAAAAATTATTTTATTTGGAAATAAGAAAGAAATATGAAGGAAAAGAATTCTGATAATTTTCACTTCAAAATAGAAGGAAAATAAAAAGCTATAAAAATAAATTTGTAGAGAAAAATTAATTTTATTTTTCTTTTTATATAAAAAAATAAGTAAGAAAATTTTTTCCGAAAAAAAATTTAGTCCATTCTTATAAAAAAAGATATAAAAATAAATAAAAAACATTTCATTACGAAACGTACGTGATACAATAATTTTTTAAAAAATAGGAGATCCACACGCTTAGAATATACTACACTAAATAAGTATAATACATTAATATTTCAAATAAATAAACAATCATTTATAATAAATCATAAACATAAAGAGCGGAACGTACGTGATTACAGATAATTTTTTAAGAAAGTAGGAGATCCACACGCTTAGAATAATACCTACACTAAGTAAGTGATAATACGATTAATATTTCAAATAGAATAAACAATCATTTATAATAAATCATAAGCATGAAAATAATAAAAAAAAGCAAAACTTAATTTCTTATTTCAATATAATTAGTTAAATTCTCAAAATTATTATAACTATTGAAAAATACATTAATAGTGTGTGTGCATTTTTATGCGGATCATACTATGGGTGTCAAAATAGATCACGACACGCGAACACGATTCGTCTAACACGCAAAATAAATGGGTTAGGGTTGAAGTTATACGAGTTCGTGTCATAAACGAGTTACCCATTTATGACACGAATATAAATGTGTTGTGTCGAGGGTTGACATGTGGGTTAGGCAAGTGACCTGTTTATTTAAAAATAAAAGAGTAATTTTAGTGTTAGATATAAATACTCCAATTAAAATCTATTTAAATTTTATTCTTGTATTACTTTTTTACTCCAATTAAAATCTATTTAAATTTTATTCTTGTATTACTTTTTTATTTTAATTATGAATCTTAAAAAATTTATGCATTTTACGTGTAAAAATTTATTTTTAAATATCATTTGAGTTAAATAGGTTAAAAATAAAAACATACTATAAGAATGTTAAGTGGATCGTATATAGGTTGTATAATAAAATAATTATAGATGGTGAAAAAATTATTATTAATTATAAAATTAGACTTTAATTTTTTTTTATTTTTATTTTTTTTTGTAAATGATAAGGTTAAACTTTTAATTGGCATTGATTTCTTTAAAAAAACTAAATAATATGTTCTATATTTTTTTTTTTTGAGAAAAATGATCCTACGTTTTTGAATGTTGATTTGAGTTCATGAAAAACTTAGATATAGATAAATAGATATAAATTAAAAAAAATCAAAATTTTAAAAAAGATATATATATATATGTGTGTGTGAAATGATATTTTTTATTTTTTATTTTTGCATTTTAAAGTTTATTTTAAAATTAAAACAATAATCAATTTTTTGAAATAATTAATGCCGTAAATAATCAATAATTGAATGTTCAATTAGAATAATATATTAAAATAATAATATTCTTAAAGTTCAATACTGTATGTTTTTTAATCAATTAATAAAAAAGTATTAAAAAAAAGTATTAAAAAATTATAATTTATCAATTAGTAAAAACTCAAGTTATTTAATAAACTCAAACTATTATTAATTATCTAATGACTAAGGATATTATAGAATTTATAAACTTTCACTAAATTCTTACAGGTAATCCCATTATTCTCCCCTCGTTCCCACTTTTATATATAATACTAGCCTTTTTTTATAACGTGCGTTACATGTTGATTAGGCTCATTATATATTAAAATTTTAAACTATTTTAATTTTTTTATCTATATAATATTAAAGCATAAATTTTTATTCAGATTAAAATAGATACAATTGGTTAATTTATATTAAATTTTGTCATACAAGCTACTTGTAATGCTACTTCTTATGTACTTAATTTATTTTTATATAATGAAAGTTGGTTTCAAAATAAACTTTAACCTCGTTCATAAACTTAATCCTTTATTCTTTAATTTATAAATGCAAATTCTTAAAATCCTAATAGGTACCCAAAAAGAAAATTCAGTCATCACTCAATCTCAACCAGTGCATTAGAAAAAAGAATATATTCACATACAAACAAATTTTTGAAACTTTAAAAGGTAATCCAAAACAGAAATATATAATTCTAGTTTTTTTAAGTTTCGTAAACACTATTTTCTTTTAAGTCAAATAAATTTAAAATATAAGAG